ATATATAGGTATATGTGTGTGTATAAATATACGTGTGGTCTATGTATAATATATCTACACACATATATATACATATATATATACACAGATATATACACACATATACATTTGTACGTATGTATGTATGTACATATGTATGTGTGCGTGTATATACATATGTATAGTATATCGTATATATATATATATATATATTGTTCCTTTTATTTACTAATTTATAAACTAAATTCCTTATGCTTCTTGCTTTTCTTTTTACATTCTAATTTTCTAACTGAATTTATTATTTAGGGGTTTTTTTGTTTTATGTTTTTTTTTTTTTACATATATGTATACCGCGCATGTATCCACTTTTGAAGTCTTTCACATCATAAGAACCCATATGAACAATATGCATGTGTGCGTGTATTCATATGTAAATTTATCGTCCTCTGGTAATATTTTGCCTAAAGCTTATTCATAAATATTGTTCTATATTGTGTTTATTATATTTTGAGTTAATCTTTAATTTTTTTTTTTTTTTTATTATTATTATTATTTTTTTTTTATTAATTTGCTTTATATTGCAAACTTTATAGAATATTGTTAACTTTATTTTCAATTTTATTTTCTTAGTAAAAATTCTTATGTATGGCTAAATGCATGTTTTCTTTTTTCAATTATTTTCTAAAAATATTTAAAATTGATAAAAGCAATTGACTTTCTGATACTTTCTTTACGGCTTTGCCTTTACGTTTCAATATTAAATAGAGTTTTTTTGTTTTTTTTTTTGCAGTTTCATGTATGCAACTGAACTTACAGAGCTTCTACATGGTGTATCACATAACTGTCATACCGAAAATAGTATAAGAAACGGCAAATGCGGTAGCCACCCGCAGCTACTTGTGGTCACGTACACGGTTTCTATAGACTGGTTTGAATTTTCCGGTATGAAACGTTCACAAGTCATCCTCTACAAGTTAAAAGGATGCGAAATATCAAATTTTCCAACTGCACAAACTCGTCTCTTTTATTATACAATTACATGTGCACCCACACACACACACACACATATATATATATATATATATATATATATACATGTATACACGTGCACACACACAAACGCTACGCTAGTCAAAATATAAAAAAAGGCAATATTTTCTTTTTCTAGTTTTCTTCGTAAGCACTTGTTTTGTATCAACATTCATACGTTACTTTTTCAACCACCCGCTACTAATACAAACACAAACACATACACATACACACATACACACACAGTTAGCCATATATTTAACCCTACAAACAATGATTTCATAATCGGAAGAGCGGACTTTTCAACTACAATTGATTTCTCGCTCACTTTAAGAAAACTACACATCAATTTTAGTTATATATTATAATCCTCCCGAAGGCTATATCTATCTATCGATGAATTAATAATATCGGCATACATTTCAAGCAATCAATTACAATTTTATTTTAGGAATAAAATGTTGACTCGATTTTCGAGCCTCTACGCTACTAGATCTACTATTTTTTAATCTTAGTGACGGTGTTGGAGTGTTTTGGGGTAAATTTCTTCAATAAAGTTGCTAAGCAACTTTTTCAAAACTTTCATTTCAATTATAATGAAAAAAGTTTAATTATTGCTTTTCTGTTATTATAAAATAAAAAATTAATTTTTTTTTTTTTTTTTTTTTTTTAAATTTTAATTTTTAATAGGTATTCGATCCACATGGCCTACACATCATAACTGCAAAGCACCACTTTATCGAAAGGGGTCAATCTTCTCTATCGTCTTAGCATAGGCGAAATAATAAAATTTTGCAGAAAATGTCTGCTGAGTCCATATATCATCTTTCTCCAAATTTTTTATATAATACATATATACATGGAGGTGTAATTATAATATATATTTATATATATATATACGTAAAGCAAATTGGCAAGTTAGACGCAATAAATACAGCCATATTAACACAGTTGATGCACTAAATGCAAATGGATTGTCAACTTATCTTTATTTTATAAGAAAATATTATTTATTCAATTAATCATAATTTCTTAAAGAAAAAATTATTATAATATATATTATTTTATATATGTACTTTGTGAAGCGCCTGCGCATAGTAATGGACGCTAAATATTTTTCACATAGCTTGTGACGTCGAAGACATTACTGTATATAAGAAGACATTATTGCATGTGTTTATGTGCGATAATTAGAATTATGAAAATGTTCTTACCCTAAAAAAAAATAAGGAAAAATAAAGCAAAAATTATACATCGACAGTATCTTCGAATTTCGCAAAAGTTCGCAAGGCTCAGCAATAGCAATCGTAAACTCTATTGACCAGTATGAATAATGGCCGTACGTCTACCTGTCCGCTTATTTAAATGACAATTGCATCCGTAATCAGCAAAAAAAGGTTTGGTTTCTCGCTTCAGCTCAAGTAACAAACTTTCATAAGTACTTAAGTTGCTATTAATTACACCCGACATCATTGGTCGTACATGGTATATTCAGGTTTCGCGGGCATGTGTATAGACTTAACGGATCGATTCAGCATAATTTCCGATATCTGTCAATTTGTTTTTTGCATTCAATCTACAAATCATAATTTTGAAGATATTTTGATGGCTTATATCTTTCGAGTATACTTCTGTTGAAAATGGATTTGTTCGGATGACTTTTGTGACAACATCCCATATAACGCCTCACCTTTGATAAGGTCGTGATAAGAATAGGAATTGGAACTTGCGAAATTTCTCGACACCAATCGGCTAGTAATAGCATTTCGACACCGTCCCATTTCAATTTTCCTACGAAAAATGGGGCCTTGTATGGCAAAAACATCTAATTTTATAATAATGATTTGATATAGGAATCAATTGAGGCAAATTTGGAACGCATCGATCTATTTTTTAGATCCTCGACCCCTTATAAGGATTTCCATGAAAAGTTTGCTTTCCAGTTAAGAAGAGAGTTATAATTTTTGATATACTACCACGAAAGCAAATGAAGAATTATATTAGGCGAAATGATGTAGAGCATTTAATATCTTGCCTACTGTGGACGCATTCGTAAACGAATCACGAGAAACTTTTTACTGCAGTCGTAAACGTATATCGACTTTCGGTTCAACATCTGAATGTTTTCAACATCGCCGATGTGATTGCGAATGCATCAAGTCTGTTTTGCAAATCGAACTATATTTCAGCAACAAATGACAGACAGACCGACAGACACGGCTAGATTGACACAGAATTGTTCACTTACCAAGCATATGAAAATATTATGGCGTTTTTTGGCAAATTTTCTGCGTGCTGCAAACGAGAAGACAAATCTCGCTCCGCAAGGCCCAAATCACATCCTCGCATGAAAAACCGGCCTATTTCATGCATGCATCATTTTCTGGATAACCAAAATACCCAAGACTTTTCACACCTTCCAGCAAGTGTTTATCATTACAAATGATTTCCAAAAGGGTCTTTTCTAAATGCTCGTACTGAAAATGTGGTGGAAAGGGCATATCCTCGAATGCCAATATTTCGACTTGACCATTGCTGTTACCCACAGCTACTGAACGACCACAATTTGACAATCTACAAAGCAAACACTTTAACCAACTGTGCTAGTAGAACTTATTAAAGGCCTTTACCTAAATGTCGTATACTCAGCTTTCGGATCAATTCTCGTTGAAGAATATGGCTTTAGTACACTTCGCTTTAAATCCCATACGTCAATCGATGTTCGATTTAATGATATTATTATCGAAGAATGTGTTTTACTCCACGCGGCCATTAGAACTGGACTCATGTAATATTTCAAAGTTATTAGTGGTCTACAAATACCCGACATCCAAATATGTATACACCTACAAAAATTTCAAAAGACTAACTGAATAATTGCAATACATTCGAAATACATTAGAAAATCTTACTCTCTACTTGAAAAAAAAAAAATGAATTTAAAATATTTTCAATCCAAGATTGAAATTGGAATTGTGTGGAAAGTAAACGAAATATTGAAGAAGCGTTGAACTGAAGCAGACAATGTTGATGAATAAAGATTGATTTTACCACAAAAAATAAAAAAAAAAAATTATTCTTAGTTACGTTCGCGTGTTTATATATTGTTCACTAGCACGAAAATCGAGGTTAGAAAGGAGACCGAAAGCTAAAACTTTGCATAAGCAAAAAACACAATTTTTTAAACGGTGAATATCGAAGCATAGACAAGCCCGTTTGCACACGAATTCAAAACATTTGCAAACTTCATATTTGTTATGGAAATTTGCTGAAATCGATAAACTCCTTTTTCCATGTTTTTTAAACTAATCTAATAATCATACGATCTGATTTCATTATCTTAAATCTTCTGCTTTTGTGTCATTTTTGGCGAAATGTTTAATGTAATTGTTAACTTATTTGAATGGTTGCACTCGTGAACCAATTTTTTATTATCCGTAACCTATTGCATATTATGTAGGCCCAGAATTACGTTCGTTCAAATATCAATCCGCAACGTATTTCACTCGACCAAACATTCCAAGTTTTAACAATCTATTTGTTAATTATACAATCATACGTCATTGCTTTTTTTTTTACTATATCCGCAGGTATTTTCTTGAAAATACCTCCATAAAGGGCCATGTCAAACATGTAACAAAACTACGGTGTGCCTGGAAAAACTGACATAATCAACTCCAAAATTTTTGAAAAACTCAGTCTTTTTCATATTTTTATGCCCATTATCGCAAGACGGCCAGAAGGAAAGTTCAGAGACCCTACAAACTGTATATATGAGAGATCAGTATCAAATTCTGAATTTATTTAAGCATGTCTGCCTGTCCGCTCTCGACTGGCCGCAAAAATGAAGCTAACAGCTTTAAATTTATCTGAAGCAGTGGAAATTCTCATACACAGGTTGGTATTGAAAATGGGCCAAATGGGTCTAAAGGCACCCGTACAGTATTATGTAAAGCGAGGACACATCTGCTTTTCAAAAGGGGCAAAAAAATGGGTTTCTTGCTCGTTATTCAGTAAGTATATTAGATAGATCTACAAAATTTTGAACGTATGTTCTATGGGAAATGCTGTAGTGCCTTGTAAAATTAACCTCACATATGCAATGTTATAGTGTATCAAAATTAAATATTTTTTCAATGCCTTTATAGCGCGCAGAAGCAAGCTTCAACAAAGCCCATCATGTATATAAATTATTGGCCAGTTTCAAGTTCGGGATGCAGCTATGCCGGCCCGGCCCGTCTGTTCGTGTGTCTATCTGTCCATTTACCCAAACTGCACCGTTCGCAAAAATAAAGATATAACCTACAAATAAAACGCAAAATAAATTGAAAATGACTTAAACCTAACCAAGGACACACCCACAGCGCCCACACACCTATGTAGTAAACATTGTAAACAGCTTTGCTTTTCGTGCTCTTTGCTTGTTATTCATAATGTACAACGCATACACGATATAAATTTCCACTTTTATTCTGAATGAGCGGCGCCCATCCATTATTGTTAGGTGTGAAGGCTTAGTTCTTTTATTTTTTATTTTATCAAATATAATTTTCTTAAGGAAATTAACCAAACAATTTTTGTAAAATTCGTGAGAGAAAAGTAAGAAAATTCTTTTCGTCTGTAGCCCAATCTTTTAAGCCTATTACTTCTATACTAAAATGGAAAATACAAATATTCATCGTTGCAGTTTATGAGCGCATAATGAGCAGAATACCCATATTTTTTTTCATTTGACGGCTCTTTAGCCGATTTTCAACAGCAATCTTGCGTTCAATAACTTGCAAAAGCTTTGCGGAATTTCAAGTCGATATCTTCTATTTTTTTGCGACAAGTAGAATGCTTATCACAATTAAATGAACAGGCAAAAAGGAAGACAGACACACAGACGAACAAACATGCCTAAAAGGGTTCCGAATTTAACACTAGACAATAACGGATATTCTTAAGCGAAACGAATGCAGCCTATCTATCGGTGGTCTAACGAACGAAAAAGACTAAATTTCCTTACTCTATAAATTGAAGTCGATATGACTGATTTTTCCATTTTTGCACAGATACCTATAGAATAGCCCATAGGTCACGATCTAATGTAGATTACGAGTAATGCCCAAAATAGAAAATTGCGCTTTTGAAAGTTTAAGTTGCACTATAGGTGTATTTTTTGATCAATTCCACCCATTTTTAATATCAAATCGGTTGCAATAATTTCCAAAGTGTAATTACCAAGCGTAGAATCGATATCTATATTTTTGCGACCAAGCTAGACATTATAAGAAAGGAAAGACGGACGAACATTTTTAAATTGATTCAGAATATAATGTTGGTAAAGAAAACATATGCTTTATAAGATCACAGCGAATTGCTTGCTTGGGTATCTTGGCAAACTTTTTGACAAATAAGTGTAACCCCTCCACCCATCCTTCGGCAGTGGATATAAAAATCGACTAAATCAGCAAACAATTATTAACTTTCTTTCTGCTGTTTCTGCTATCTCTTGTTTTTTTTGTTGAAACGCGGACTAAAGTTTGACAGCTAAGCAGGTAGGCGCACGAACATTTCCTTCGCGCGACCAACACCTTGCGAAGACCTGCTAAATCAAGGTAAATTGCTATTGTAGAGTATGTGGTTGAAAAATCATCTATCAATCTACACATGCATCATTCATTAAGACATAATACAATACATATAGTCTATAATTTATCGAAGAACACTCATTTCAATACGTATAAGTGACTAAGAACCTATCTTAAAAAAAAAAAAAAATTGTTCATGAATTTTTCTATTACCAGTCATTTCCACAAGTTAAATACAATTTAGGCGACCATGGTGAAAAATCCATTGCATTTATGCCGGCCTCATGCAATCGCGATACTTCCAATTCCTGTTGCACGCAATTAATCGAACATTTATGCTGGCAGCCCTCATTTGTCAAAACATAATAGATATCTTTTTCCCACGCATCCAAACATATATACGAGCCCTGGGCATTGCAATTTATCAATAGCTCATTCGATGTTCGTTCTATATTGAGATCCCTTGGATTATTCTCAACACAACTAAGTTCCATCAGAGGAAAGCCTAACAAATAGGGACCATCTATTATGGAATATCGTGTAATTGAACCGTTGCGACATAAAGCCAAAAATGGTTCTATTCGTGCTAATCTGGTATAGCTGTTGTCATTTCGGACCCATTTGATAGATGTGATCGGTTCAAAGTTGGTTGAGTTTTTACGCTCGGATACAGCCACTTGAGGATTCTCAATATTGCTTATATCGTAAACGTAAACCGAACCATCGTATAAACCAATCGATAGCAGCTTTGTAGCGAACGGGGAAAATTCTAACGTTACAACGGACACTTTGAAATTGTAATATCGTTCAGGATTAACTGGATTTTTTATATTCCATATACAAACGCAGCCGTTTGAACTTGCGGACACATCCTCTCCGCTGGTGCTGAAAGCATACGATGCGGCTAAAAAATCACCATTACTAGGACACCAACATATATCCGTAACAAACTTTCTGATTGTATTTATTAGAGGTAAAGTAAACGTCCACAAGTGATCGATACGATAACGATTGTAAATATCCAAAGCCAACGAATCGGGCATTATCATGTTACGAAAACGTCGTTGCTGTTTCTCATAAGTATTGCTGGCCAATATTCGCAAAGTCAGCATTAAAGCCAACTTAAAGTTGGGTAATCGATTGATTTCAAGAAATTTATCTACACCCTTCACCTTATACGTAATCACTTGGATTTTTTTATTACCGTTCACATCTACACTCAGCGTTGTTCTTTCTAAATCTTTATAAGTGTCAAACATTTCAAAATTCGATACATACGAAGCAACATGACTTTTGAATATAAAATCAGTGTTGATACTACGAGTTTTACAAAAAGCCACATTGGCTTGAGTTTCCTTATCAAATCGATTACGTCTGTTATTCAAATTCATATAACACGCATTCTCCTCCTCAGCTTTGCGGCCCTCCTCGGTGTCTCGCAATACTGTCACACTGCGCTGCTCATATAATAAAATTTGTGAAGTTTTTCTTAATATAATTTTTATAAAAGGATTGGCGGGATCTATGGGACTATATTTACTGGTTTGCATTTTTTTACTCGCCCCGGACTCTACATCCAAGCTTAATTTGCTTAATTTTATCTGAAAGACAATTTACAACATTATAAATCTTATATTATTCTATTAAAAATAACTTTTTTTATTTTTCCATTTACAACAATTAACTCTTACACCGTTCACTATATCATCCAATGTCAAATTGATAGAACCGAGACATTTTGTTTGCTGCTCATCAGTTGATGCCATGTTTTCCTCAAACATCGATGATTTTGAACTTTCGATCAATTCATGATCATTAATTTTCATAATCAACTTGTCCAACTTTTCGCGAAGGTATTTTTCCGGATCAAAAGACATTTCCAATACTTTCTCTTCAATGTAAAAATGAATAATTGCATAAATATGTTGCCAAGGCTTCGGCTAAATAAACAAATCGTTATAATAAAAATCGTCACGCATTAAATCTAAACCATTTTATTATTTCTATACTTCAGAACATAACATAATAATTAAGATTTACGTTGACGTAACTCTAATAATTCTTTGTATTGTTCCACTGAGCCATCTTCATGTCTGGATTTGAAATCTGGTGTCGATTCTCTATTTTCCAAGTTCAAGTCTTCACGTGACGCGTTCTTCTTAGAACGTTTTGACTTTTTGATTTTGTCGCGAACGCGTTTGCTTAACCGTGAGGCAGCCAAAACTTTACTAACTTTGGAACTTTTTATGTAACGTGAATGCCATGACTAAAAAAAAAAAGAAAAAAGATATATATATATTTATTTAATGAATTAAACTACATTTCCTCCATCAAGTTTTCTCTTCATTCATGTAATAGTCATGTAGAGCATCCTTTGACTAAAACTGTAGAGTTATTTATACCCTACATCGCTTGTGATACAGTGTATATTAAGTTAATGTGTACGTATATAACACGCAGAAGGCGAGGCGTAAGATAGACCCACCTTTTATTTTTATACCGATCGATTCAGAATCATAATCAGAATTGATCTAAGCCTGTTTGTTTGTGTTCAAACTACAGGGCGCAATTTTTCAAATATTTTGATGAAATTTGGTGTAGTAAAAATAGTTCGGATCGGTCCACTTTTTCGACCACTCCCCATATAACGATCTATTCTGAAAAGTCGTAAATAGTAGTATTTTTTCGACGTTTTAAAATAATATGAAAACTTTGGCCTGGCTGAGCAATTTTTGAACCCCCTCTCATATAACTGAAACGGTAGTTCATATGACAAGAGGGTATAATTTTCAACGCTTCATGATGAAAATTATATCATAATAGTAATTTTACATTGAAAAATTAACTGTACCAAATTTGGACCATCTCGATCAATGTTTTGGATCCTACCCTAATAAGAATTTTCACGGAAGTTACAATTATTTCTATTATTATTATTATTAACGTTTAAAAGGGAGACTGTCTTTGTTATTGAAAGCTACGTTATTTTAAACTATTTCCCATTATGTAGTAAATAAGAAGATATTTCAATTTTAACATGCGCATATATCTAGACTAGACCAGCTATTGATTTCAAATATGTTTTTCAAGATACATCATGCATAAGATTTTATTTTAAATAGTTGCAAGGCATATATAATCCATTTCATAAAAGTTAGCCAAAGTTTGTCTTTTCTTTACGGTGTACAGCACAATCTATAGCGCAGCTAATTCAATTTCTTTTTTTTATTTAGGCTAATCTAAATCAAATAATTAACTTATAATGTTATTAAACATATAGACACATGTTACTCACTTCTGTATTCTTCCTGTGTTCGTCATCACTTGAATCCAATGATATAACATCGTCCGGTTGACTTTCATCTTGTGATTTTTGTTCTTCGTCATAGGTATTCGTTTTAATTTCCGTAAACGAGGAGTTTGTATTACTAGCATCGTTTTGCAAATGTTCAATCATTTCATTCTCTAAATCGCCACCCTCCAAAGATATAACATCGTCATTTCGTTCGTCATCATCTTCATCATCACTAATGGACAGAGGCGTCGTTTTAACTATCGGACTCGTTGTAGTTGGTTGAGATTTTTCGATATCTCTGGATGCAGCTACCGTAGGAGCATCACCATTTTGCTTATGATCTTTAACCTTTACATTCTCTCTATTCGTGCGATCACTTATTGTCGCGGTACTGTGGTCACCTTCATTCTTAACTGTTTCTTGTAATCCTTCCAAACTTATTTTTGCTTCATCTTCGTCTTTTTTAGTATTTTCTATGAAATTTTTATCCGCTTCAACATTCTCCTTTGTGGGTGTGCTTAGGGTATCATCACATTCTTTTGGAATTTCTTTGTGAACCTCTTCTTCCTTACTTTTAAAAGAATTTTCTGCATTTTTATTTTTAGTATATTCATCATCAGCATCAGATGAATCGCTTATAAGTAAGGTTTCCGCTTCTAGAATGATAGGTATAACATCAGGTGATAACGAACGCCTAACATTCTTCTCTTGTTTAATAAAAATTGTTGTATTTTCTTGATTATGATCCTTCCGTTTTTCATTCTCCTTATCTTCTTTTTCCTCATCATGGATTTTTTCGGTTGTTTCCCCCTTTTCGGCGTTCAACTCTTGAGCTGACGTACAACGATAGTTTCGTTTAAGTTTAATTTTTTTACGTCTCTCAGTTTGATTCATTAATTGAATATTCGTCTTATAAGTTTCGACCGCACTTGCATTAGACTTGATTTGCTTCAGAGGTTTCTGCGATTCTTGCCCACTTGAAATACGTTTCAGCTCATTACAACTTATTAAGGATTCTTGCACAGATTTATTATTTTTCCCCGACTTGCTTATATCTTCATCAGAATCCACTTCGATTTTAGTTACAGGTTCTAAAGCTAATTGAGAACGTATTGCTCTGGCGCGAGCTTGAAGCTCTAATAACTCCAAAACGCTTATTTGGCCATCCTCTGGAAAAGAATAAAATAAATAACTTATAAGCTTCTCTGCTCAACTATTCATCAGCAACGAACTTTATAATATAATCCTTTCCCAATTATTTCTTAAAAATTTTTTTCCACTTTGCAATCGTTGCAACTTTTTTCTAAACTTTTCGTGAAATGCCCAAAAAAAAAATGTTGCATTTCTGTCTGATCTCTACTCAGAGTTGGGATTCAATGATTACATTTACTCTTCAACTTTCACTTAAATTATATAACAAAATTTTATTAAAAATTATTCATTTTTTGCCTTAAATTGTTTTGTCAGAAAATTTTTTGTTTTTTTTTTGTTTTGTTTCTCGCTTAACTGCGTCGCCGGATTTATTAATTTTTGCATATTTTTCGGTTCCTGTGATATCGTCTGGAGATTTTGTTTTTTGGCTCAAAGTAACATAAATTGTTGTTGTTCATTTTAACCAGAAATGGCTACAGAAAATTTGCTTGATGCTGAAAACCGAGCCAACATTGAAGTCCTGGAAAGTGAAGGAGAATTTACACTTTTACTAAATGGTCAGAAAGATTTAGAATTACAATTGGATGAGTTTAGGAAAGCTTGCTCCGCACATGAGAAACGTCGTAGGAAACGTTGCCGCAGACGCTATTATAACTTGGGTTTAATGGCGAAAATCGTCCTCAGAACGACTGAAGATGAATTAAAGAGATTGTTGAAAAATGGCACTAGGACATTCCTCGTTGACACAGTAACAAACAAACCTAACGAGGTCGAAGATTTAGTGGAAATGTTAAATCATGTCCTTGAAGACTATCAGAGTGAAGACACTTCGATGAAATTAGTGACAGGCTTGGCTGTAGAAATTACAGGTGATTCTTGTCGTGTCAGTCGTACGCACAACAATTGCTCGATATTTCTGAATAAAGGAGACATAACAAACCTAACCATAGACACATGTTACAAATATTCCTCCTTCAAGGAAATTATGTATGTTATCAATCTTAAGTATTATTTGCCTACCCTAAAATTATGTGACGAAATTAAGATTGGTCGGGAGGTACGAGGCAAAGTCGTCAAAAAGCTCAAGAATAATGTCGCTGTCTTCATTGAGGATCCAGGTTTAATCAATTCTTATGAATACATTGAACTGCCTAATCAATGTTACTCTTTACAAATTCAAACTATGCCCGATATTTTCAAAGACGATCTGGCGCTTGCCACAAAAGTTAAAGCAGACTATATTGTGATGCCGCTTATACGCTGTATGCCATTTTTGAAGGTGTTACGGTACAATTTGCAGGAGTACCACAAGTTCAAATTGATTGGCACTATCGATCTGGAATATGTTAGTTCAAAAATGCTGGATCTTATGGGAATCATTAAATTGTTGGACTTCTTGTGGCTCCCTAACCTTTTCAATTTAAGTACTGGTTTACACGCTTACATTTGTCAAGATGTTATACCAATAGCAAAATGCCTAAAAAAACCAGTAATTGGTACGGTACCATTGGAGTGCTGTAGTGACTTCAAGGTCTTCGAAAATCACGAGTTCCTGTGGAAAATCGATTGCATCTTTATTGAGAAGAGTCAATGGTGTAATAAATATCCGCTAATAGTGAAGAAGTTACTGCCTATCAAAGATTTTCGCATAGGTGTTGTTGATAATGCTTCGACTTTAAAAGATATATTATTCTCATACCAGTCGATTGTGAATTTTATAATACGCACTATCAGTTCTATAGAATGTCAAGCGATATTTTTGTATAGCAAATGTGAAGGAGCAACCACTGCATTGGCACGTGTCGAAATTTATTGCCCTGTTTACGTTATGCTACCACTAGAACAAGCGGATTCTGATAAAGATGAACAAAAATTATACCCCATTGAATTAGCGAAGTCTCTAAACCTCAGACGTAACTTACGTTGCATCGTCTATACGAAGGAAATGAATTTCTGCGAGTATAAGCCGATCGAGTATGGAATTGAGTACGCTCGTCGGGTTGGCTGTTTGGAGACTGGCGACTTTGTTATTACATTGGAAGTATGCAAAGAAGGTGGTGAAAACAAGGTAGAATTGGGCGTAGGCGAAGATGTGGTTATAATGCGAGCATTCTATCTGCCACCCCCGGTACCGGGAGAAAAATACCTTTGCAACTAAGGCTTAGCGTCATTGTATGAGATTTTTTAAATTTTCGTGAAAAATTTTTGTTTTATATATCAAACACATATTTGTATAAATAATTGATATACGGTTTGTAGACAAAATTGTATCTTACCCCCTTTTTTCGATGAATTGCCTTCAATTTCGCTACCCGATGAAATTTCTTCTAAAGATATAAGCTCTGCAAAACAAAAACAATACGCATTATATTAGCAACAGATTTCACTTGCCAACAATCAATATACCCTCGTCCCTTTCAACGTCAGAGTTAGTATCGGATGACTCCGTATCAGTCGGGCATTTTGTCGCCATAATGATGGATTTTAAACGTTTAGAAGAGACGCAAAGCAACTCGTTCAAGCAAGCTTCCTCAATTTCGTCTAGCCCTTTAGTCTGTAAATCAAAAATAGAATTTTGGTTTGCAAGCAAGAGAATTTTAACGAAATTGTATTTTAATTACCTTCAGAAAATCTGGTGCCAAATTAATAATTGTTTTTGGCTTAAGTGTGCCAAATATTTGCTTTACCAACTCCAGGCGGTCGTCCATATGATATGCCATTGACTGTGGTGTACGCTCTTCATCAATTTTCTCCTTTTTGACTTTGATCGGTTTGGGTATTTTTGCAGTTCTGCTTCTTCTTTTCATTTTATGCATAATTGCAAATTATTAAAATTAAAATTAACACTAGTTTGTAAAATAAAATACACGACTAATTTTGAAAAGTTGACAAGTCTACATAACAACAGATGTGTTTATTATGTATGAACTTGAATTTTTTAAGAAAGCAATTCTAACAAAATAAAATGTATTCCAAATACCAAACATTCCGATGTTGATGTTTCCAATAATGACAACGTCTCGTTTAATATTTTCAAAAGTCAACATTTTATTTACTTTTCCTGTAAACATCAAAAGAATAAAATGTTTCCTTAAAAACCAATTACTTCTGATCAAAAGACAATTTTTGATACTTCTCGTTAATTCACGATATTTAATATTTTAAATACTTATTATTAATTGCAGAAATTTAGTAAAAGCAATCTTGAATATAACTTTCTCACATTATTCGACTAGAAAAAAATTGAAGTTGCATTCAACTATATTTAACTTGTTTCATATTATAATTACTAGGCGTGCCTACGCCTACATCCTTGGCTTTATTAATTTGTACAGATAGCCCGGACGACACTTTCTATACATTTCTTGTTGCTGCAAATGAACGCAGCACATATAAAAGTTGATTATCCAAGTGCCATGCTGCTGTAACGTACACCTAATCACATAAATATGTAGAACCATCTTATATTTTGCCCTTTGAATGGATGATGCACGATACGTGCGCATGCATTGTGCTCAATTTTTAATCCGATTTAAAAAACTTCTAGTTAAAAATTTATTTTTATTATTGTCAACGCTTGCGTTTTCATGGTATCCTTTTCTCGCAGATTTTAACAAAAGGCGATAAATAGTGTATATCATTTACTTTTTGACCCACAGTTTTCGCACTTTATTCTTGCAACTATTTTCACATCATCTTAGATAGATTCTTGTCATCGACGACTTTGATTTATAGTACCTTCGTATAATATTTTCATAGTTTACTTCCAGTTTCCTAAGCAAGTGTGACATCAGATTTTTCAGAGAAGTTCGCCCATGATAACTTCTAATTGTTTTGGCAGATCTTCGTACAGGCCGACAAACGTAAAATAGACAAGAGGTTTATTGTCAGAAGGATTTAAATGGCCTGACCAATTCGGAGGGTTTGTTTTTGGTAGCTTACCACTTTTATTAATTTGACTGGATTTCATTTCGTTTCATTTCATTTATTCAGTAAGTAACTATAAATGCTTGGTATTCTATGTAGACCTAGTTACATAGATTCAGAGTGTTATAAAACAATAAACAGTGACTCAAGAAATTTAGCTCAAGAGTTTTTTTCTAAATTCACAGATTAATCCTATTTCTTCATCTAGTTTTTTAATCCAGTATCATATTCTTGACCAGCATCAGACCTCTTTAAAAAAAGTTTAGTATTGTCACTGAACAAATACTCCGACCATTTTTAACTTGCTAAGCTTAACTTGAGGAAAATTCTGCTTCAACCTTTCTAAAACAAGTTTTGAATATATTTTGGGGCATATTATGCTCTGTTTTTCAATAGACCCTTGATATAGAGATTTATTTGTGAAATTCGGAAATTTTTTTTATAAAGGACCGGCTTTCAATTGACTACGTTAAGTACAATTTCTTTGACAATCTTCACTGTGAATTTCACTCACTTTACATGTTTAGTATATTTTTATTTAATTTTTATTATTATTATAATTAATTTAATTAGAGAAATAAATTCAAAGACTAAAATCTTAAACCACTAGCGTCTAAGACTATTGGCTTTATATTTAATCTGTGATTTTCTAAGTTACTCTAAATGCATTGTGTTCCTTTTTAATAAGGTCGATGTTTCATTTACTTTGTTCCAGTTTTTAAAATAGTAAATGGTTAAGCTAAAATTTATAGCTGTTTCTTTCTATTTTGATCTGTATCGTTATTGCAAAAGAATTATGCGATTTTTAGTTATGTTAACGAAGAATTATTATTTATATAACTTGCAACTCTGAAATCTGCGTACGACAGCTGATAATAAAATATCATAAATTTTGAAATTAAAAAAGTTGATCGCTGTAAAACCTTAAACAATTCTGGTAAGGATTTTATTTAGCTTGATTTATACTACAAATTAAGTCTATATGTTTAAAAAATCCTTGATTTCTTATTACTTTCTTAAGAAATTGTAGGTACAATTAGAAACGGAGCGTTCGGCCTAGGTCGAATTGTAAGTACCCATTAATTTATGCTAGAGAGAGAGTGTTACGAAGATGTATATTGGTAAACAAATAAAGAAACGCAAATGGTCTTATTTATTTTTGGTATTAATTTTATTATGCTGCAAGATCTTGTGCTTAATTGATAACGAAAAACGAGTTTAGTGCTATTATCAGTGAACGGAATGAAGAATTTAGTATGCTTTCAAAGGTGATTTTAACATCGTAATCTTCAATAAAACTACTGTCAAAAAACTCGTGCTTTTAATTGGTGTTTGAAGGGTAATTAAGTTACCGGAGTTTTTTCGGGAAAAATAAAATTAAATTTATAGAAAGGAAACTATTGAAAGAAAATGTGAAAATAAAAAGCAACAATTATGTGATTATTAAACAAAATACATTGGTAATACATACATACATAAAAAGCTATTTTTTTAGATTTTAGTGTTCGAATTTTAATTACGTGTACATGATCCATAGCATCGAGTCATAAAATTTCAGGACTCAAAATAATGGAAACGAAACCCAATAGTAGGAGCGATGGCATTATTGTGGAAATGAATGTAAACACACACAGCATTAGCAATAAAGACGGCAACATGGTTGTGAATTCAAGAGAACGGCATCAGACAGAGGATGTGAGCTCATATTTCAAGAAAATTGCTACTGCTTTGTTCTATGGCTTATCTTCTTTTATGATTACCGTGGTAAATAAGACTGTCTTGACTTCATTTAGGTTCCCGTCATTTTTGTTCCTCAGCTTGGGTCAACTCGCGGCCAGTATTATAGTGCTAGGCATAGCCAAACATTTAAAAATTGTCTCATTTTCATCGCTGCAGAATAATACGTTCGGTAAAATTTTTCCGCTACCTGTGATATTTTTGGGTAACATGATGTTTGGTTTGGGCGGTACCAAAGCTTTGAGTTTGCCTATGTTTGCTGCTTTGAGAAGATTTTCTATTTTAATGACAATGTTACTTGAATTAAAGATTTTAAGCATACGCCCCTCTGTGGCGATACAAATAAGTGTTTATGGAATGATTGGCGGAGCTCTCTTGGCTGCATCGGATGATTTATCTTTCAATATGGAAGGGTATACCTACGTAATGATTACCAATGTATTGACAGCAGCCAATGGCGTTTTCGTTAAAAAGAAATTGCAAACGGCGGAAATTGGAAAATATGGTCTAATGTTTTACAATTCCTTGTTTATGTTTATGCCAGCACTGTTGATTACCTATTGTACGGGTGATTTGCATGAAACGCTGGCATATGAGGACTGGCGAAATCCCTATTTTATCATACAATTCCTTCTCAGCTGTTTTATGGGCTTCATTTTATCATATAGCACCATTTTATGTACACAATTTAATTCTGCACTGACCACCACAATTGTGGGTTGCCTCAAAAATATCTGTGTAACATATTTAGGCATGTTCATCGGTGGCGATTATGTATTCTCATGGCTTAATTGCGTTGGTATTAATGTTAGTGTGTTTGCAAGTCTTCTTTATACATACGTTACTTTTCGTCGTAAGCAAACATCTGATAAAGAACTTCTGATACCAACTACAAGAGGGGAAGCAGTCTAGTAATAAGTTCTTGCATAAGACAAAGCAAACATTATGGAATGTATGTACCCTTAAAAAAAAGAAAGTACTTCTAATTTTATTATGGATTAACTATATTTATATATTTATTGCAATCTATAAAGTGAAGCAAAATATATCCTTTTAAATCAAAGTGTGCAAAGATAATGAAGATGATTAAAACATGTGAAAAGAAAATGTACGAATTTAAGTAACATCATGTGTAGGCATCTTCAAGAAGTCTACTATTTATTGGACTCCTGTGCATAAATTATATTTGTCATGTAAATATACTTTAGAGAAACATTTGCCAAAGCCACTCATAAAATTATTAAGTTTTTAGTTATATTTATATATTTTGTATTTTAAGCAGCATTATAGGATTATATTGAAAAGTCTCCACGGTTTCGAGCTTCTTTTCATAGCCTGCTCTATTCAATTTATAATTATAATTCCAAACTTTTTTCTGGTGGAGGTTTAGTATGTCCACTATTTCCTGGCAGCTTGCGTGCCAGTCTTACTCCATCAGTTGCAAAATTTCATCGACTTTTTGAGTGACTGACCAACCAGGACAAGCTGCATCTTTGACATCAAAATCTTTGGTATGGAATCGAGTAAACCACCTCCATCATTGGCAGCATTCTCACCGCATATTTCACAACTTTTTTTTGCAGCGTTTTTATTCTTTCATATTATGTTTCATTCCTTTTCAAATCAACATAACTTTTTACGTGAACAAAGAATTAGAAAACTATATTCATAAAAAATGTAAGCTGAAATGTCATCTTTTAAGACCGTGTTCCGTTTGAGACAATCAGGTGAGGTTTGCCTGGTGTAGAGGCATTAACTCCATCCCGCGGAAAATTTTCAATATGATCTAATATTTGACGGCCTACTTTAATAAATCGGGTAATAATAGCTATTATTGTGCAGGTTTTCACTTTTATTAAATTGAAGAATAATGGAATTCGATTTTGCAATAATTAATTATTTCTAATCACAAAATTTGCTTCCACTTAGAGAATAAGAAATTAAAGAGGCTGCAATGTTCGTTGTACGGGGTTACACTAAAACTTTTAGTCCGTTATAAGAGTCCGACTCTCGAGCCGGATAAGGCTGCAAAAAAAGTTTTTGATATGATTTACTATTTTAAAATTAATGTTAGGGTATAAAATAAAGTTAAATTTGAAATATATATATACATATATAAGTTGAACCCACTGTACATTATATGTGAAGGGAAAGCAAGTCTAAGTATTTAATCGAATGCCTGAAGCATTTTGTTTATTAAATACTATTGTAATACTTTGGTTGATTGCGTTTTTCCGTTTCCCATGGGAATATGGTATGACGAACAAATTAAAATTATTACGCGACCCTCTTCGGATACTCAATTTGAAAGCATATTCCAAATTCTGTTTATAAATAATTTTGCTTATATTGATAGTGAGTGCATCTAAAGATGTTAAAAAATTGTTAAAAGTTATTTTTGAATATCATTTTACATTTATATATATATATATATGTATATGCTTACTTTCATTCAAATAATGTGAAGTTAGACTAGTTTTACTCTTATGTAAATTAAATTTTATATAATATATTAAATATATAGGTTAAAAAGTTTTTTAAAATTATCTTGATACAATACGAAAAATAATAAGAAAAATTAAAGTCGACTTAAGAGTAAACAACAACAAATAGTCTTAAATAATTATCATATCTGAAATTCGTTGTCACAATTTAATTAAGCGTAAATAAATGGTAAATCGTATTAAAATAAAGAAGCAAAACTCGCGGTCAACGCTATTAATGGCCCCTTTCTGCACTAAAGCTTAAGGCGTAGCACCACTTCAAACATTGCATTTTTAAACCAATCACCAAAGGATGAGGGGTATGTTCATTTTGTGAAAACGTTTGCAACGCCCAGAAGAAAGCACCGTAAACCCCACGAAGTGTATATATTCTTGACCAGCATCAAATTCGTAGTTGATTTTAGAAATTCCGTCCGTACGTCCGTTGTAAGCATTCTTCCGGCCGCAAAAATGAAGCTGTCGACTTCAAATTTGGCGGAAACAGTCGAAGTCCCTGCAGAAGGTTGGTATTGAAAATGGGCCAAATCGGTCGAAGAACATGTTCACAGCACCACGTAAATTAGGAGCACCTCTGTTTTTCAAAAGGAATAGAAAATTGGTTTCTTGCTCATCACTCATAAACTATATCGAATAAATGTTTAAAAAATTGAACGGATATTCTTTGGATGATGCTATAGCACTTGTGCACAAAACTGGAAAAAATTGATCAAGCTTACCCAATATTATAGAGTATCAAAATTCAATCAAATACTTGCGAATTACGCAAAAATTAAAGTTTGAATCTGTGCTGGCTGCAGACAAGCGGATTAAATGTTTTTTTTTTTTTTTTTTTTTTGGAAACACTTTTGCATTGTACATCTTAGGGGCCGACGAATCTATTAAGTTAAAGACTCCTTCCAAGAATATTTTTCGAAAATAAAGTTTTCTTTTAACCTATAAATAAATGCTTAGTGACCTACTCAAATATTATTATTGCGTTACTTCTCAACCTTCTTCTTACTTCTACGACCTTTTTAGACTACAGGCATGATGTTACTCCCTAAGCATAGTTGTTAATAGTTGTCCCATGAACTTCACAATTTTAGATTCAAATAATTTACTTATCAAATTAAAACATTTTTTTCGGCAGTTCGTTGTATTTTTTGTGACATTTTGCAAACGTTTGTCAAATCGTGTATATTTGCTATGATGGAACGGATATGACCATTTAGAGGTTCTACAAAAATGCAACCCTGATGTTTTTTAAGTATATGTAGAACAATCCCTTCTAGATGCCTTTGCATAAAAAGTTTATACAATATCTTTAATAAAAAATTTTTAGGGAAAATGTTGAAAAATATTTACCGTCCAATTACTTTCGAAATTACAAAATTTGAAGCATACTCCGCATTGCTGCCTTGCACTTTTTATAAAAAAAATATGGGAACATTAGATGAAGTACCAAAAAATTCGGATGAGTTTACCAAGGAATTTGTGAGAAATCGTATTAAAATGACAACATTTCAGAAGATGTTATTAAGTGCAGGTTCATCCATTTCGGCTCTATGGGATCCCAGAAGGTATATATCCTAATTATTACAGTTGTATACACTGAATTCACTTTTTTTCGTTGATTATTGCGCAGGCATGATATGATTGCTTGCCTAGGTGAGACAACGGGGGAAAATGCTTTAATCCAAATTTCGCAAAAAATGAAAGCGGACGAAGAAGGTCGCCGCATAATAAAACGAAAGCCCCGTATAAATACCCGAACAGTTAACATTGCAGAATTACGCAAGCTGCCAGAAAACAGTTTTGGCTATGTTTACGTAAAATTTTTAGATGACAATGTAAGTAAGAAAAAAAAGAAAATGTAAACTTTAATCAAATATTTTAAGATAATCTTTGCTTAATTATTTAGAATATTACTCCCGATTCTCGTACAGAAGTTCGTTTCATGGAGGACCCTGAACTAGCTTATATAATGACAAGATATCGAGAATGCCATGATATGGTTCATGCTGTCTTAGACATGCCCACAAATATGTTGGGTGAAGTAGCTGTAAAATGGGTGGAGGCATTAAATAATGGTCTGCCTATGTGCTACAGTGCCGCGGTATTTGGGGCTTTGCGTTTAAAACCTAAGTAAGGAAATATATAACAAAATATGCACACATATCTTGCGTTCTATAAGTGTTGTGGTATTTCTAGGCAACGTAAGCAGTATTTACGTGCTTATTTGCCCTGGGCCTTACAAAATGGTAGAAATGCCAAATTTTTGATGACCGTATATTGGGAAGAACGCTGGCAGCAGGACATAAATGAAATGCGGAAGGAGCTACAAATCGAAATTTTAAAATAGTGCAAGCTGGCAACACTACAGCATTTGCGATTGACCTCTTCTTTTTGTTTGACGTTTAATATGAACTTACTATGACATAAAATATATTATTTTTGTTTTCGTTTTAAAGAAGAGTGCGCATATTTTTTTATTAGTAAATACTAATTAAAGTACAGGTTCCAACAAAATGCCAGACAAATTGATCAAATTAGGACAAGAACAAGTTGATAAGATTGTAAAGAAAACATCTAATATGGATGAAGCAATAAAGTTAGGTGAGTACAGTAAATACTTTGTTCATTGAAAGCAGCAAGATCGTGATGGCATTAGTAAGGCATTCTAATGTGACTTGTCTGTGAATTATTTAGGAAGGCTGTCGGAACTGCGGCGGCATATTGGCATAAAACGTTTGCCAAATACAAATGACATTAATCATTCCAAAGTCCCTCAACATGCATTATCAACTATTAAGGGATCCAAGGCGAATACTAATTTAAATAACGTAGCAAAGACTGAACCAGTTGTTAGATCTACAATGGATATAAATCTTGACCAGAGTATGTCAAAATCAATTGAAGAAGCATTATTTTACCAGCCATTAAGAATATCTCAGCCAAAGAAAGAGGAAATTGTTAAAAGTAAAAGCAATGTTGCTTCATCATTTATCAATGAAGAGTGCAGTGATTCTTCTATCTTGAAGGTCAGTACTTCAGTTCAAAGCGAAGCCTCTTCAACTTATGGTCATGACGTGGATGATCTATCCATAGTACCATCGGCAATAACAAACCTACAATCTATGCCACTTGCTAAACCGTTGAAACAATTGAATTGCGTAAATGTTCAATCACCTTTTAAAATTGCATCCTTAAAAGATGCTCAGCTACATCAAAAAAAAGAACTGTTTTACAAGACTACTGGACATAAGTAAGTAAGAATCAACGTAAGTTATTGCAAAACACTTTGGAAGATCTTTCAATGTTTATGAATTAATGGGAGCAATTACTGTTTTTTGTTAGTTCTAAAAGTAATGCTCTTGAAGCTCAAAGAATTAACGAAATCAAAAAGCAAGTAATTAAATTGAATGACGACTTTGTTATGGATGTTGCACTTCTAAGAAAGAAAGTTGATAGAGTCTGCATCTATTTTAATATTGTAGAGTAAGTCTATATAGTATTAATCCAATTTAAAATTAAATGCACTTAATTTCAATCCAGGCAAGAGTATATGAAAACTGAAAAAAAATTTGTAAAGTCCAAGCTGAATTTACGTAAAGCTGTTGAAAAACAAGAACTCTTGGCTGAACATTTGGGCGCAATTATCACATGTAATGAAACTCATAAAGTTGAAAAGCTCACCAACTTCGTGGAAAAAACAGATTTCACCAATCGTACTAGTAATGTGCGGAATTCTTCTCCCAAAATCAAACTCTAATTATTACTTATCTAAAACATTACGATTTATGCATTAATTTGTACTGCCTGTAAGTGCTTCAAAATCTGCTGCATTTATTTAGAATAAACCAAAGCTCATGCTAAGAGGAATATATATATATAAAAAAAAAAAGAAAAAATGCTTTAATTTCAGGTCAAGAATCGCCTTATCCTCACTCTATGTGCCCTGCGAATGACGGACGAAAGACAATTAATTGGATCGTCAAATTGTAGAATAGATATAAATTAGCTCAATGTCTTCTTTTTAGTCTAAGAATTTATTTCACTAGTTTAAAATTATAATAATAATAATAATAATAGCTCGTCATCAAGCCAATATCAATTCTGAACAAATTTGTAGTAAAATAAGGCTCAACGTTTGTGTCAAGTTTGGATTTCATCGCTCTTTGCGTATCTTTCTTTTCACTTAGTATTATTCGTCAAAATTACTTCTAATAGCAAAGATTCGGAAGTGGAGTGTATGACTCTTCACATGATGATTTATTAAGATATTTTAGGCCGCAGCGAATAAGCTTGTATGCGCATTGTCATTCCAATACTACACATTTTTGTGAAGGTCATAAAGTACGACGCAATGAATATATCTACTCGGGAATTAAGTTTAGACAATACATTAAAACAAAGAGAACTATATAGCAAAGCAATATATTGCCATCGAGAGCTGAGTGGGCAACGTCGAGAAGCAAACTCCCCGTGTCTTCAATTGAGCAGTTTCACCGTGCGACTTTATTTCTGTAACTCTTTGCACGAAACGTAGCTCTAAAGAGAGTCATCGTGAAAGTGAATCGATCAAAATACTCGTTTGACTTCGTTGGGTTGATTATTTCGTCGCAGCGCGCACATGCTGTGCCTGTTCAAATTAGACTGGCTGCAAAACCACGGTCGCTAGCAAAAGACATTGTCAAGATAAAATCAGCAAGCAATAGTTTTTTGGTAAAGGATTACATTACAAAGGAATCGGTGCAAGTGGCGCATAGGCAAACAATATTGCCAAATTTCAAATGTTTGCCTGGGCGGTTAATGCATAACGCTACTCATAACGAATACTCATGGTCTTATTTAATTAGTAAAGTGCCTGATTCGCGTTACTGCAGTCAATTTCGGCGTAGTGTGGTCGCATATAAATATCGATCACTTACTTTATAATTTATTTCCATTGCGTATAGCTAATGAAACTTTTTTCCTGGTCATTTTTTTCTTGCGTGATATCTCTTTACGTTAGTTTGTAGTCCAATTTCAAAATACTTGGAGTTTTTCACTGTTCGAAATCCTTCATACACTGTCGAAAATTCTTCATACATAATAATTTAGTCATGAGTTTCTTTACCTTGTGCACTTATAGAAACACCTAATTATATAAGAGGTTGCAAATATCCGAAAAAATTTTCTACGTCTCTCAGCTTTAATCTCCCTGCAAAACAACTCAGCTGTGACCGTTAGGACTCAAATATCACTGGAAGGGTAATCATGTAAGCAGGCGACAAGCCAGAATGCGACGGTCACCAATAAAATCTAGGCAATGATTATGTGTGGCGTTAACTAGACTTAATTTTTAAGCTTTGACTTTGTTTGCTATATGCATGCATAAGAGGTGCTCTCTCAAAGCTGTCAAATCAGGGGTAAACCAAATAGCTTACGCTTTGCATTACCATTGGTTATTTAGAGTTACATTAACAAGAGAAAAAAGCTGTACAAATTTGTGGCTTTCAAACAAACGAACCAACAAAAAAAATTTTAAATTTGTGAAATGTGACTAAATTAATTCTTTCCTTTGCTTTTAACTACGATTGTCTAATTAATACTCTTAATTCGCTAAAGCTTCTAAGTGCATCACCAATCTTTTTATATGTCATCATATACTGTCGCTTTTTCTTCAAAATAAATTTCGAATTGCGGTTTCCATACATAACTCACAGCCAAATGGCTTTCAAGGTACGCCGTTCAGCAAAGTTGATGTCGCCGGAACCAACTCTGCGTAAAATAGGATAAAATGCTTACGTAAAATATATAAATCTATAATAATTTCTATCACGAACTAAACAATAAAGTTTCTTTGATAAAACGAGGCACAAAAGTTCAATTTCACAACAAACAGACAATAACAAAAAGAGGGAAAGCCTTTCGTTCACACTTGCAAAAAAGTGCCCTCACAGCTCGCCTCTTACTTGGTCATAGTCTAATTTTCTCTATTAACTCAACATACGAAACTGTACATTTGTAGATATTCGCTGTTAATATTTTAATCGTGGTTTTTTTTATCTTAGCTTTAACCTTCGTTTATCTTTCACGAAGCAAACGAAAGCATTTACTTTGCCTTGCTTAATGCGATATAGATGGTATAGATTACTTCATCTTTCCATCTCCTTGCAGCTAGCTCACCAAACTCATAATCTATCATTTGTTGAAAGTGAAATGAAACGTAATATCGCGTTCTATACTATATATAGTTTTTACTACATACAACCATGTGCAGAAGGGTTAATACACATACAAACATCGCATGCTTGATTTCTATGGCGTTTCGGTTTGTTATTTTTTCATCGAAAAAATATTCTTGTCCATTACCAAAGTTGTGCACTAAGCTGCCATAGAAGAAAATATCAAATGGTAAAGAAGGGCTAACTTGTCCGGGACTCCTTTAAACCAAAGTGGCGGTCTGGTGTCTATTATAATTTGTGGCCTGAAGTCGAGTTTTACAGCAGAAAAGAGTGCAGAGAGAAGCCATCATTTTACTTAAAAGAGAAATAAATTTTGAACACTAGTCGTATCTGAACAAGTGCTCATAAAGAGATGTCTGGTAGAGGTAGAGGTAAAACAGGAACTTTAACCCAGGAGCAATTGCAAAGTTTGGGTTGTGTGGGAAAGGAAATGCCGCAAGTACAAACGGCACCTCCTCCGACCTACCCACCCTTAATGACCAAATCAGTAGTCTCAGAAGTGAGAATCGCTGTTAGACATTTTTACAGATTACTTAAAAACTAATTTATTTATCAACTCAGACTACGGCGGAACAAAGTTATAAAATTTTATGGAAGGAAAGCTTTTTGACCTATATAAGAGATTCATCATGTTATTTGGAACTGAATGGGATGGCGGACCCAGATAAAAACTTGATTTATCAACAAAAAGTAAGGTGTCTACATAATATAACGTATACGCATACTATGTTAAAACATTTTTCATTAAGACTTGCAATGACCAAGATAAGCATAAGTCGGAAGCAGAATTTAATTGGTTTTTGATGCCATCGGAATTGCAAGTTATCAATAAAACGCGCAAATTGGCGATGAGAACAGCTAAAGACGCTACGAAACCAAAGCAATCTAGAACAGCCAATATAGAAAATCGCCTCAAATTACTGGAGGAAAAGGAGCGTGATAATGACGACATTGAAACCCTTGCTAAATCCGAGTCAGACCAAGAACTGGAAGAAGAGGAAATAGTTGATGATGAGATGGATGAAGAGAATGATTACGGTAATAGTTATTTTGACAATGGCGAAGCTTATAATGAAGAAGATGATAATATGGATGATGATCCCGTTTATTAAAGTTTATAGATTAAAGTTATAGATTTTATTCCCATTGTGTTTTATTTCATCAAATTGTTCTCAGTTTACCTAAGAACTGCAAGTAAGATTTATTTTTCAACTATCTCTTTTAATCTATAGATTTGGGAGGATAGTAATTAAGTTCAATCACACCAGTGGATTTGACCTAAAAATGCAATTAATTTTTACAAACTCTTTTTTTTTTTAAGCATTTTAAATCAAAATGTACTAACCAGACCGATGGTTCCCACTAAAGCCAAAACACCCACTATTAAATAGGTATTATATACGGTGTTTTGTCTGGAGTTTTGTTCTTGCCAATCGCCGGAAGGTACTGGCAAGTCATTCATTGTGACCTTTTTATCGACACCATGATAGAGCGCACGCGATAAAATACCAGCTAAAATGATGATATAATAGTTATTTTATATTTTAACAAAAGATTTTGTAAAAATAAATTCGATATATAAATGTTATGTAATATCAAAAATATTAAACCCTACCATTTCTCATGAGAAGACCTCGCGTCACAATATTTTTAACCAACATTTCGACTTAAGTTTAGTTTTTGTAAGAAGATAAATATATTTCACTGGTTGCAACTGAAAAGAACCAAACCTTTTTGACCGATGATCAAAAGATTATGTTAACTTGATTTCCCAAAGCAATTGAAAAATAATGTTGCCACTAATCGGAAAATATAGCTTTGCTGCTTTTGTACTTTTTTTAATGACACCTATTCTGTCAGCTGACAAATAAAAGCTGTCATAACTGATAGTGGAGGGCATAAGTTATATAGGCAGCAAACAATATAAAGTATTATATTAGTTGTATTGGGAAAAAATTCTTAAATCATTTTGTTTGAACGTTTTTTTAGACGATCTATCAATATGTTTTCGGTTGGTTCTCTTGCTAAAGTCAAGCATATCCTGCAGAAAGAACTTTTTAATGGATGCGGTGAGCGTTTGTTATCTGTAGTTACGGTAACAAAGGCATGTAAGAAAAAACGAGCTTGTTATCTGTGCATTGCCACAACATCTCCGCCTTTGCCAGTTGTGACCATTTCCTTAGTGAAGCAATCTGACCAGAAAGAAAGCGAATACAAAAAGAAACGTACTTGGCAATTGGAGGAAATAAAATGGGTTGATGGGCTCAGTGAACAATTCGATGTGCATGAATTTGACATGCAGGTGGAAAAGCTGTACAAATGGTATGCTTTAAATTTACATGAAAGGCAAAATTTTTTGGCAGTTTTATATAAACAAATACAAAAATTTGGTCACGGAATGAAAGCGGAATTTCGTAATTTGCCGGAGATTTGGTTAAGGGAAAACTCACCGGAGAAGTTGTCGGAGAGTAGTGATAATGGCAGTGGAGGTAGATCCAAAAATGAAGCTGAGACTGAGGACGAAGAATTACCGGAGTTCACTGCACTTACAGAAAAGGAAGCAGTCGAATTGACAAAATTGTTTAGCGAATGTGCGTTTCGTGATGCCCAGTTGCTGATTGAAAAGCTGTCTAACGAACTTTACAATTTGGATGGAGTATGTTGTTTAAATTTATTTTGCAATTTCCAAATTATTATGGTCTGATTTTAGGCGAATATGCAATCAGTCTTAGCATCAGAAAAACAAGTTAGAGTACTGATGGATCACATTGATAGAGCTATAAGTGAAGCAGATCGTTTTGAGAAGCGTTTAGATTCATATGAGGAAATTTTGGGGCATGCTAAGGAAACTATGGAAAAGATTGGTGGCAAGAATGCTATGATCAAAATAGCTAATAATAATAATATTAAACTAAAAGAGGAATTAAGTAACATAATTGTAAGTTTTAAATAATATGGAAATCTAAGGTATATTGAATTTTTTTCAATGCTATTCAGACACAATTGGATTTGCCACAAAGTCAACAGCATATACTCGAAAATCCGAATTTAAAAACGCCGGAAGGTCGAGAGTTAGCAATAGAAGCGGCGCAATATTTGCAGCAGGCGTTAAATAGTACCATCAATCCTGCTTTACAGCGTCTTGTTTCTGTAAGAGATCAAATGAAACGTTTTGAAAAATGGAAGCAAAAGTTCTTAGGGCCCGTTAGCAGACACCTAAACAATTTGTTCATACATTTGTCTAATGAAGTTGGTGATATTCCGTTGTCCACTACAGATATTGTTCTATCCAAAAATCATTTGTCGATACATCAAGAGCTAAAGCCATACACCGAATTGATGCACTGGATCAAAGCTATGGATAGTAAAACTTACGATGGTTTAACAGCTGTTTACACTAAATCATTAAGTAAAATCTATGAGCGCGATATACGAAATTTTTTCACTTTGGTAAGAATCGAGATAAACTTTGTAGTAAATCATTATAATTGTATAATTGCAGGCCAAATTACAAATCTCAGAAAAATTACGCGGTTCACGCGAAGACTTAGATGCTTCTACGACCTCTACTTCTAAAAGAACGGTTATTTCAGCAGCTCCCTACGGTACGTTAGGTGTAAATAAGGAACAATGGGCTTCTGGTGTTGACGTCAGTGATCGTGGCCGTTTTGATGCCGTTCTAGAAAAGGTTTTAACTCAATTGGAGCGCATAGCTTTGAATGAACAAGAATTTTGTATTGATTTTTTTGAAACTGACGCTGTAAGCCCCCCTACAAAATCGAATGCTTTTGATGAAATGAATAGAACAGTTGACCTGTCACAGCTCCTATTAATTTCACCGTCAGCAACTTCACTTGCTGGCGAGGCAGGTTGTAAGTTTTATTCAAATTTATTTAGAAGTAATACAATTTATTCTAGTAATTGATAGGTAATGTTGCCTCCTTTACCCAAAAAAAAGCTGATCGCCAAATCAACGAAGAAATACGTAAATTAATGAATACACTGTTCGGATGTTTAGAGCAAGAATTGGTTAGCTTTATACAAAGCTTTGAGCGTTTCGATTGTTTGTAAGTTTTTAATTATTTTTTTTTGTTATAAAATCCTTTTCATAGAAAATTACCTCGCAGTTATTCTTTGTATGTATTGGAACGTTTGACACAGCATGTTATGTCAGCTCAAGATACGCATTCATTTTTAAGCATGACCTTCGCTTCTGTACTTGTTCAGGTGAAGCGCAATTTCGATCGCTTCATGCAACAACAATTACAATCTATACGTGATGCCAAAGTACCGAAACGTTCTAAGTGTGGAATTTTGCCATATGTTGAGAACTTCGAATACTTTTCTCAAACATCGGAAAATTTTTTTCGTAAATCCACACGCCGCACTGATATGGAGAAATATATACAATTGATTTGTGCAATATTTGAGGGCATTAATATTCATGCCAAAGAGCATCCGAAAACACCGGCGCATGTGGTGCGCATGGAAAACTATCATCACATGTATTCACTGTTAGCTCAATTAAAAATACCAGGTTTAGATGAGTACAAAAAAGAGGCGAAAACACGTTACAATGATGCACTCAATGCTTATGTAATACAATATTTTGGTAGACCACTGGAGAAACTTAATGTAAGCGAACCATTCACAATGTAAAGAACGAAAATTACTATATAGATTAATACCTATTTAGCTCTTCTTTGAAGGTGTCCAGCAAAAAATTGCTCAAGGTGTTAAGGAAACTGAAATCAGTTACCAAATGGCGTTTTCCAAACAAGAATTGCGTAAAGTTATCAGTCAATATCCGGCACGTGAAGTGAAAAAAGGCTTGGAAAATCTCTATAAAAAGGTAGAGAAGCACTTGTGTGAAGAAGAGAATTTATTGCAAGTGGTTTGGCATGCCATGCAAGAGGAGTTCATTGAACAATACAAATTCTTGGAGGAACGTATACAAAAATGTTATGCTGGTGCTATGATTAGCTTAGAATTTAACATACAGGACATATTAAATTTTTTTTCAGATATTGCCCGTTCACATTAAGGTGAACAGTGTTTAAAGGTATTTGGTATTACGCATTAAGTTGAAGGGCACACACTTCATATTAAAATTCTAAACCAATACATCATTTCAATTCGATTAACATAGTTACAAATAATCAAATAACATAATAAAAGTAGTTTTTTTTGATTGACATTTTGTGATGAACGGATTGTGTAATAGTTTTCCCTCACTTCTCAGCTTTCGTCTGATATTTTCAGTTTCGAAAGTAATAGAAATCGCGAGTTTATCTCCGTTCAAGTCAATATTGCGTTCAATTGAAAAGAAGGAAAGTTTAGTTCGAGATAATTTCTATATACCATTGCTTGGTCGGACTTACATCTCCTTCTTAATTTTCATGTCAGCATTACGTTTCTTAACTGTAGGATTCGCTATGCGAATCATATTGAATGCAAACACGAATTCTGTAGGGAAGCAACATCAACAGTGTGGCGAAAGTAGGCACATTAATTACTTGATCTGTCGAAAGGGTAACAAATGTCTTCAATTTAATTGAAATTGTATTGGATCAAAATTTTCCATGTAACATTCATTGGTGAAGCTTTATTGGTTACCAAAATCTTTCAATGCATTTATTTCTAAATGACTGGCATTTACCGTTTTTCTGAAAATCCTTACTCCCTTCGTTAGGCCCTATTCCATTGACGATTGATTTTTTTTTACTTTTTTACATGAAACGCCAGTTACTTTGTTGCTCGTATTTTTATGCCTAGAAAAATTATATTTGCCAACTTATTGGCAAATATAATTTTCAATTTTTTCATTTTTTATATCAAAATCTCCTCAGCTATTATGTTGGTGTATGCGTTGATACCATTAACTGGAGTAAATAATTGTAGAAAATAATTTCCCAATTGTGAGTTCGCGCTCAAATCCAATCTACCTTCGAATTCACGTCATTCACATTGATTAATTTCATGTCTACTACATGCATATTGGTTAACATCTTTGCATACACACGCTGTATGGTTATCAACCATTGTACGCTTTCACCTAAGTATGAAACCGCAGTCAACAGATGAAATATTTCACTGCCTCGTCTGTTTAACTGGCTGAATCTAAGTGGCTTAGCTTTGCTTGCCTGGCGTAAGAAATGATGTAAGAGAAAAGAAATTTAATATAAATATAAATAAACAAAATTTGAGTAGTAAGAAAAAAATGAATATAAATATATGTAAATAAAAATTTGAAAGTGTTAGTGGATTAAGTCAAATATAGAATTAAAAACATGTATTTCATGGTACGTCGATAAACTTTGTTCTTTGTTCACAATTCGACAAATGATATTTGAACTGCGAAGAGAACGATGATATGTTCTTAAATTGGACTACATATCGGTGAAAGTCCATAATAGAGAACCTACAAGTGGTTAATGAAGAAGGGCTTGCGGACGTATACACACTGACAGCACATTACTACTTAAGTGGTAAGGACGTCAACGACGACACATTTATAGTAGAAAGCGATGTTAATATTAGTTGTGATGATGAAACAGGTGCATCTAACATGTTTATAAAGAAGCAAGCGAGACAACAGAGACAGGCAGTTTTCAGGATATATCATATATGCAGATATCTTGAAAAAATGCTTAGCGATAAATGTTTGCCTTCCATGACCAAGGGAGATTTCCCGACAGGCGGTCTGTCTGAAATTTTTATACAACATTTCAGTGTTAAATTACCATAATTACAAAATGATATAGATGCAGTTTTGATAAGATATACCGGTGTCAACACGGAAGGTACCAAGCCGAATATTGGGGAAAACCAACATGAATTAGGTGTTAGAAAGTTAATTTTGGATAAAATTAGGGAAGTAACAAAAAATCAGTTTACAAGGGACGATGACTTCAGCGAACATAGATGTATTGCACAAAAATCTGAAGTTTTTGGCTCAGTAACAGGCCGATGGAGTGTGTACAATTGGGAAGAATAAAAGAAACTTTAGTTGGCTTAAGCTAGGATTAAGGACGGATTTTTAATATTTTAAGTATTTATTTATTCATTGTTATTACATTCTAATTGTTTTGGATCCCACGTTATATTTAAGTTAAAGACAATTATAGAGAACAAGCCTGGAATATCTTCTGGGGAAATAATCATGTGAAATAGATAGGTAGCGCGCCTTGTATAATAACTCATATGAGATAAGGAAAATTGCATAAAATATGTTATATATATGTGCTTGAAAATTTACTACGTTAAATAAAAGTAAATTATTCCTATAATAGAATTTTCTTTAATTCATGTTCCATCAGCTATATTTCCTACCTAATCGTTGACCTTTTTCGTTTTTCGTATACAATTAACATGTATGTATGCCACCGCGCATATTCATTTAAAAGCACAGAACTGTATATATTGGTCCCACACATCACATGTGGTACATGGTATAGTAAGTTAGTGCGATCGTGTGTAACACGCTAAAGGGCTTAAGATAGACCCAGCTTTTATTATCCCGATCGATTCAGAATTATAATCTGAATTGATCTAAGCCTGTTTGCCCGTCTATCCCTCTTAGGTGTATCTGCGTAAATTTGTGTTCAACTTACAGGTCGCAATTTTTAAGATACTTGGAGGAAATTTGGTACAGTGACGTGTTTTGAGCCAAGGACGAACGCTATTGAAAATTGTTTGGATCGATCCACTTTTTCGACCACTCCCTACTCTTATTCTGAAAAGTTGTAATTGTTAAAATTCGTCAGCAAAAGTGACTTAGTATTTCGGCATTCTGAATTAGTATGAAAACTTTGGATCGGTTGTGATAAATTTTAAATGAGTGGGTAATACAAAGTAGGTATAGTAAAATACTATTTCAAAAGCTGGGTTCATTTTCAGTCGTAAGCAAAAACGACATTACAACGATTAGAAGGAATTTATTGCTAAATATTGTGTCAGAAAATAATGCCGGGCTTACTAGTTATTATCTCCAACTAGGAAATGATATAAAACTCTTTCCCATTCCTAAGAAAAAGCAAGCAAGAAAATTATATTTGACCGAATCTTCTATACCCATTACCGTTATCCTTAAAAAGACAAAAACAGCAAAAGAACTCAATTTTCATGCTCTATAAAAGGGCATGTGGGCGGTTGATCTTTTCTGTTCCCAAAATAAAGTTTTTCTCGCATAGGCCCGTGGACGTTGTAGGCATGTCTTTTGAAAAGTTTAGGCCACTTTCAAATTCGTTTTCGCTAACTGGAAAATGTTAATTACCGACACTACACAGTTGCGCAAAACGGATAGAAGGACACACGGACATGTTTAGGTACATTTCAAAGTTGAGACTGACCAAAAATTTATATACTTTATGGGGCTTATGAAGTTTTCTGCTGCGCATTATAAGGCTATTGAAAAAAATTTAATTTTGATACACTATAATATTGAGTGGGCGCGGTTAGCTTTGTCTATTTTTGTACAGGTGCTATGTGGTCGCTCATAAAATTTACATTCCTTTTTTTGTGTACATTTGCCCGTTGTAGTTGATGACTAATTAGCAAAAAATCAATGTATTTTTTCCTTTTAAAAAGCAGGGGTGTTCGCGTTCCTGCAGGCGCGTTTCTCGGCCGATGTAGCCTGTTTTCAACACCAAGCGGCTTGTGAGAGCTTCTAAACTTACAGTTGGTAGCTAAGTTTTTGCGGCGAGGACAATATTTAGAATAGATATTACATAGACAGAAAGACAGACGGACAGACATGCTTAAATCGATTAAGAATTCGATGGTGATCAAGAATTTATAAATTTCGTTGAATCTCTGATACTTTTTTCTCGGCGTCGCAAACATTTTGACAAAATGAATATACTCCTCATCCTTTGGTGATCGGCACAAAAAAATTACATACACTGAAAAAACTTTTCATAATTAATTTTGTGGTTTTTGTTTATTTTCGGCGCGTCACACACCTAATCGAAGCAAGTTTTAATTTAAAACTAGGTGCAGGTGATAGTAGCGTATTGTATGGCGTGGTTGGCCGATAATGAAGCTTTGTGGAGCATATATATTATGTGTTACTTTTGTATTTCAATTGTCAAAGTATTAAAAAAAAGCTATACAAGCACACCAATGTGTGGAACAATAAACGGACGGATGGACATGGCAAAACCGAGTTCACATTTTCAAATGATTACGCCATTATAAATGTAACATAACACACACACAATTACGAAAATTCATTATTCCTATTGTGATTTGAAGTAATGAAATTTTTTCTGTTCTGAATTTTTTTATCGTTCGACTGAGCTTTCATAAATCTTTTAATATCTGACGTAGCATTGTTTTGCATTTCGATGAATTCTATGAATTTCCTTCTTTTTTTTTTTCAATTATTTGGTGGATCTTTTATACGGTTATCAAGGCTTCGATTAGTTTGAGAGTTTAACATATATTTAATAAATAAAAAAGTCTTTTCGACAGATAATATTAGTAGCTGTTTCAAAGTCAATCTTTTGAAACCCTCGTGACAGAATAACGTATATAGTCAGCGTACAAAAAAAAAGGCATAACTGTTTTTATTACGTTGGCATAGCCTATTCTATCTGTCGGTGTATTCATTCGCTCGTGTCGCAATTCTTAATTCGCAGGGAATCAGAAAAGTATTTACGCTGAATAGATTTAAGAGTTAAGCCCATTGACTAAGAAATTCAACTTAGCGACATTTGATGACGCTACTAAGTAACGTCAGTATTCTCAAAGACGCTTAAGAGGTGTGAAAAGCACAGAACGTATTATTATTTATATTTAGATATATATATATGTTCTCAAATGTTATCAAAACGAATGAATGTAATTATTGTATTTGTTCTTCGTAACTTTCAAATATGGAGGAAAGCTGTCTGCGCTCACTGTGACCAATTTACACGCTGTTAAGAGAAAAAGAAACATATAATAACATTGGCTTATAACTTAAAATGTGAACGAACCACGAGTCAATGAATAAAACAAAAAAAACGTATTCGGAAAAGTGTTGAGAAAGTTGAGGCTCACGTGAACACAAATACACAGCCATTACATATACTTACATTTTCATTTCATTTTTATACCTATCATCGAAAGATGAAAGCATATCAAATTTTTCAGGCCATTCGTAACAGCCACAAAAAAAAAAGTCGTACCCTTACATAAGTATTCATTGTGTTTATCTAAGAAAATCCGATTTTGTTATTCATATGTTTCTGCGACAATAAAAATATTGAGCTTTAGATTTCGCCAAAGGAAAGCATCAAAACATGTATATGTTGAGAATACGAAATATGTTTATTCGCGGAACTATTCTTCAGATGCGATTCATATAAACTATGCTTAACGGTCTATCCACTTTTGCAATCAAGATCTCAATGTTTGAGCTTTATCTAGTAAAGCGCGGCTCCGAAAGGCAATCATTTAACACAATTTTGTGCACGCGTAGATGTACCTTGTTCAGAGGTAAGCTTTGTCTCTAGGTACTAAAAGCATCTGAAATGTCAGGAATGGCTTGCAAAAGACATGAACGTGATTCCGGGTTGTCACATCTATAAGAAAGGTGTGCCATACGATGTAGCAAGTAAAGAAGGCTGCAATATCGAATATTCACGGTAGACAGTCCAGAGATCGATGAATTGGCGCGAGACAGTGCGATTTATTTTTAAGTTAGATGGATAGATGAAAGGGCATCTGGGATTCGGTAATGCGCGTATTTTATCATAGCATTTTTACATGGTTCTGGTAAATATATGTGGCGCAAATTGGTTGGTACGTCGAATACATGTATTATAACAAGTTTTCTAATATAAACGACGTGATGGTGAATTTTTTCTGCATTTTTTTTTTTTTTTTTCGGTATATTGTTCCAAGAAGATTGGATTCGCGTCGTTGGTTCACTGTTCAGTGAATGAAAAATTACATTGTATATGCGAACGTGCTAATCTAATCTGTATGCATATATCTGAACGGTGTTTATTTTCTACTGCTAGTTTAAAGTTAGTTTTCAACTGCAAAGCTAAGACAGTCTTTGCAAGCAGACTTGAGTTTTCGATAGCAAAGCAATGTCTATATATATATATATACATTCAGTTTTGCATTAATGAGAGCGTGTATTGGGCGAGAAAAGTGTTTAGTGCGATTTTCGTGGATTTATGTGTTATTCAATTTATTTTAATAAAAGTATATAAGAATAATTTTTCAAATAAAATTAGAAGAAATGTGGACACATCTTTTTATGTGATTTGTAATCCACAATCTTTCGATATTAAACACTTCGTCAGCAAGTTCGTGGAGTGTTAGCAATTCGCTATGCAAACGCTTGACAGTTTTAAATTATCTTAGTCCATTATCTATCCAGAAGTTTGCACTTTAACTTGTTCCTTCTTAATAAATGATAATTCCTTTTTGGCGTTAAATTGCTAATTGCTTCCATCATGTTCGAGCATTTAAACGTTTAAACCCGCTCGCATGGAGCTTTCCAACACGAGGTGTCGCTTTAAATCAAACAAAAAACAATATATCCATGAAAAGTGATAAAATTTTTATTTTAATCTAAGGTAAAAGCTTTGAGGTTAGTAATGGATCGTCATCTTTTAGTGCTTGAATTGTTGCTTGAAGATCCGGTTGAAATAATTGCACGTCCACAGTCATTATCTGATTTGCTGCGTGACAGATGGCGCCTCAATTCATTGGCGCTAATGATGCCACCCAGCACAGTTTGTAGCGCTTCCATTCACAATAACGGTCGAGCAGCAGGATTTTCGAATAATTGAAATGATGACTGACAGTGTCAGCCCAAAAACTTAAGCTAGTCCTTAGTTGTGCTTAAAGAGGCTGCTACTACTACTACTACTTTTCTCAGGCTTTCGAGATTCCAAACGGCGCAGAGTTTTGCTTATTCACGTACCTAGAAAAATTTTGCTTAAACAATCGCTGTTTTGTACACGCACTTGAATATACGGAATTGTACCTGATCTGTAGGCTACGATTGTCGTGTCGACTGCGAGTCTAAAATATTCTTCAATACAGGTTAATGATAATCACGAGTAGTACAGAGGGGAACCATTTCCGTGATATTTTGATCATTTTGCAGTGAGCAGTCTATGTACGCTAATTTCATGCATCACGAGAATGCGTAGCGATCCATATTTGAAAAAACACCTCCTATGTTTTACTTGTCAAGTATTTTTTCTGCATTCGTAATGCGGTTAATGCTTACGCAGGATCGCAAAAGCAAATAAAAAAGCTTAGAAAAGCCGGGAGTGTTTCGCTCCATCATCTATGGCGAATTTACGAAAGCATAAGTTTTTTCGTTTATTGTCCCCATTTTTAAGATAATTAAAGTAAATATTTTATCTAATTAGTTATTAGGGTGATTATAAATCTCGATTGTCCAATTATGTTTAATTACAAATACTTTTCTTAGATGATACATTTTCAGACGGCATCTGCACGCATTGTGAGTCTCGGAATCGAGTAGCGATAAGTCTAATAATCTATTGATATCTCAAAATGTGAGCTATCAAATCGATAAGAGATTTGAAAAATATAAAGAAAGGATGATAACTTTTTCATTAATTATAACCGTTTATCGGAGGGTGAGGGTATATTCATTTTGTCAAAACGTTTGCAACGCCCAGAACGAAGCGTCGGATAACCCAAAAATAATATATGTATATGTACCCCATATCAATTTCAAATTCTAAATCGGTCTGTTGTAAGTATTTGTCACAAAAGTGAAGCCATCGATTTCAAGTTTATTTGTTACTTAAAATGGGCCAAATCTATTGATGGACACGCCCACAGTACCACGCAGTCTTAGAACAACTCTGCTTTTCAAAAGGTATAAAGAAATGGTTTTTGCCCATTACTCATAAATTATAGCAAATATATGTACAAACAGTTGAATGCATATGCTATGGGTGATGCTATAATACCTATAAAAATTGTTAACATTGACCACACCTACTCAATACTATAGTGTATCAAAATTTAATTGCTTTTTCAATACCTTTATGAGGCGCAGAAACAAGCTTCAAAAACCCCATAAAGTATATAAATTCTTGGCCAGTTTCGAATTTAGAATGCAGCTAAGCAAGTCCGTCTCTTCGTCTACCCATCTGCCTGTCTGCTCAACTGTGTAGTATTTGTAAATATTGTACTCTTAGCGAAAATGAACATATATGACGACAAAAAATTTTTATTCTATTTTAAAAGTAGAAAACATCAGACGCGACCTTTTCGCATTATAAAGCAGGAAAATTTATTTTTTTTATTGTATTTTTGTCTTTTCTACTTATATATTATACGAACTTATCACACATAAAGCCAGAAACATTATGTTTAATTACAGTTTCCCGGCAAATATTGAAAGCAAGATTTATGAAAAGGATTTAAGCCGCAATGTGTTTGTGAATAAATGTTATATAAAGAACTGAAAAAAAAAAAATGAAATTTCTTTTAGTGTACGACGCTTGCACTGCCACAAGTGGCCTCTCAAATGGAGATGCCAACAGCAAAATATTTAGCAGACTACCTGCACGTTATGCACGAAGATGTGCCATTCCGCTATTGCCGGGAAGTAAGTGCTAAAACAATGATTAAAAAAGAAAAGAAAACCAATAAAGAAACAAACACTTTTATAGCCGCTACCAAAGGATGGCGGTATATCGCCATTTTGTAAAATCATTGGGAACACCAAAAAGAAAGCTTCGATCTAGGCATGCCTATCTGTCCGTCTTTGTAAAATTTTTGATAAACATTGTCGCAAAAATTACCATCTAGTGAATACTAACATCACCTTTTATTTTTATGCTTTTTGTCTGTCTTTTTTAGAAAAAGTTCTCAGTGTGTCGTGGTTTGATTTTGTGTATTTGCTTAAATGTAACGTACGCGAACGTAGTTCGTTTCCCCAGAGAATTGGATAAGTTTGGTTTGGCATACCTAGTGCCGTACGTTGTCTTACTATTTCTAGTTGGTTTACCAATTGTGTTGTTGGAAATATCAATGGGGCAATTTTTGGGTCAAGAAGCCGCGCATACGTGGAGAGCATCACCAATATTTAAAGGTGAGTATGTATTCAAATCCATAAAACGCACCTGTGAGATACGGAACATGACGTGAGCAAATCTAGATGGAGCTTTCGAGACTTTCCACTTATTCCCCAATAAGCTTTCGTTCCGCTTAAAAGCTGAACATGCAGTCAACCGGGACCGTTTAATAGTTTCTTAACCGTACCAACAGCAATCTAATTTTCGGAAGCTGCTGCAACGATGTGATGCTGTATTGGTGGTCAATGTCGACTAGAGTCAACTATAGCAGTTGCCGTCTGTAACTGAAATCTTTGGATCCGAGTATATATCAGCAACGGGTACGCGTCTAATAGGATCAAGGGTTTGGAAACATATGTTATAAGCAATATTTTTGAGGGATTTTTCATACGGGATGTTACGTGAATAGGATCAGTTAAGAGTACCATTACCAAATGAATCAGAATCAGTAGTCTGGTTAGAAGTTCGAGTTGATAGTCCATGCGATTTGAAAAATATATTGGTTTAAAATCAATTTTTCGTAAATAAATGATGTTTGCATTAATGTTAGCCTTTCCACAGTTTTTATAATGGGCGTCGTGTCCAACTTTAATGACACTGGCAGAAGGCAAAATGAACAAATGACGTGTAATACTGGGGGCAATAGCTTGACCACATTGTACAGTTGAGAGATTCTCGCATGTGACAGCGTAACCGATAAGTGAAATAGATTGTTGCTGAATATTTAAATGAGTCGGAAAACGACTATGTCTGCAACAGACGCCATTTCTGAAGCACATGACCCGTACGTTAAAAGATTTACTGCGTTGAAATAAATCGCAATTAAATTCTCTTGTTATTACAACATTGAGGTACATGGCAAGCAGATCACTGCATTCTTTCGAAAGCAGTTATATCTTCTCTGACTAAGTAGATCACACCGGCCACCAATTTCCTGTTATGGAGGTTCAGTTCAACGAAAAGAGATCCACAGATCCCTTTCTTCTTGACTCAAACAACTGGCCTAAATTGAAGTTTGGAAGAAACGTGTAGGGCACCTTCACCAACTCTGCATATTGGTCGGTCGTTTCTAGACAAACTGCATCTAGGTAAGCAAATAGTAGAATCAGAAATATACTTTTTATCCAGGTTTCACTTACGGAAAAAACATCAAATATATTATCTTTAAGAAAATTACCCAGCCCATCCAGTTTCGTAGACATGTTAGAACGACTAATACCTTGGCAATTCAAATGTGCAGAATTAATATTAATACCATCATACTTGAGGCAGCTCCGAAAGAATTTGTCGCTGGCAATTGGTCGAAGATTCGAATTTAGTTGCATAAAAATGTGTGGTAACAGTAGAGCAAGATGACTATTACAAAGATTAAAAATGACAACAACAATATGAGCAATTTATTAAGAAAGGTGATTGCAACAGAGCCACGAAATCAGTTTAATTTACATAAATTTATTAACGTTATAACGGCGTATATGGTCTGTAGCTCACTTCACTGTTACTCTAACTATACTTCAATCCAAGTTACATAAGATGTAATAAGAAGGGTAAACAAAATGTTCGAGAAAGATAAGACTTCGTTGTACCTGTTCAGAAACGTGTGAAAATCATACGAAAGCATAGTACCTTTATAGTTGTAAGATTCTCTTTGGGCGAATGCTTTCCATTATTATTCATCTTCCGGCAAAAAAAGCTCAGCACCTGGCAAAGTGGCGGTAGAAGCTCATTGATATAGACCCGCGAACGCATCTCGTCTCCAATGATGTCAGAAAGAATGATAGTGCGCGTTGAAAGATATTTTTTCTAAAATTTACCCCTCACAGGCACTCTGTTAAATTTCACGAAGATGTCATTCTTTTTATTTAAGTGAGTGCAAAAGTTGATGCTGATGTTCCATTAAGGCAATCAAATTTTTAATTACGGGCACTGAAACATTCTCAAGTTGACCGGGCCAATCTGATATGATAATATCTGCACGATGAATATGTCGAACAAATCGGTTATGCATTATTTTCAACGATTATTTATTTTTTTTTTTTGGACTAGCGCAACCCTCATCACGGTCACGGCCGCTGGGCTTGAGGGTTAAACATCTTCTCGAGTTTGAATCCTATATTTTCAATCTTCTCGTCAACGATGACTGATACAACTCTTGAAAGATCATGTTGAAGTTCCGAGTGATTTAGTCGACAACCGGTTGAATTGGCTGGGGTAGAAATAGCTCCCGAAAATCGCTTGCAATCAGTCCAGCTATTGTAGAGTTTCAAATTTCCAATTAGCATTCTTTTCGCGAACTCTTCGCACATCCGGTATGAAAGCATTTACCATAAGAGGCAAAGGAGACAGTTACTTGTGCATTCATCAACACCTTCTTCCACAAACAGCAAGACATGCTCAAATATAGCGAAGGCAAATTCAGACAGACTCTGCCCAAATAAGCACAGATACACCCAAACAAAATAAGAATAGGTATGGGCACTGTAATACGTTTTCAGCCAAACATTACCAAACTTCAAAAAAAAAAAACTAAAACTTTTACAGCTCGATAGACTTGTATACACTTTTTTAAAAAAATTTTTGCTTCTATTCTGTGACGAGAAAAGATGAACAATAATAATAAGAAGAACAATGTCTTTGACAAAAAAACGAACTTCACTAAATATGCGTTATGTGGGCTTACATTGTCTGTTTTTCTTCATACTTACTCCTCCGTTTCTGTTTACTTACTTTCCTTTGATTACTTTTGTGTTTTGCATTCCAATCTGGGCAGGAAAAGAGAATAGACAGTAGCGAGGTTTACAAATCGAATTTTCACTTACGTCTCTGACGGTCCAAAACCATTTCAAATCAGCTGTTCTGTAAATTTCAATGGGAATTAAATGATGCCTTAATACCAACTTGCACGTACATGTCAAAATTTAAATTTAAAGTTCCGAACCGAAATTAGATCTAAATTTCGTCCTTTTAAATCAAAAAAGCGGACGCACGAATATATTTCATTGACTTTTTTGACTAAACGCTCTCTTCTAGGAAAAATGGATTAGTTAATTTAACAGAACGACAGGCTGATAGACAGACAGACATGCAAACATGCTTATTAAGAATATATATATATATAATTTTTGAAATTTCCTGTGCTGGATGAATAGAAAGGCTAATGAAAAAGCTGATTAATTACTTTATGCCTTTTATTGTAGGGGCTTGTATAATTAGTCGTTTTGCATCCTGGGTCTCAACAGTTTGGTTGTCATTGCACGCGGTTATCGCTACGGCGTATATAGGAATGTTTACGTTTAATTCTATGCCGTTTAAAGAGTGTATAGGAATTTTGCGTATATCATCGGTAAGTTGACGCTGGTCCCCACTTATTTCACTAATGTTATCTCAATTTATCTTTCAGGATGGTTACGCTTTGACCAATAACAGCGGCCAGGAATGTTTACAGAAAACATTTTTAACGCCATTCTGGGAAAATCCTTTCTTCTTTGGAGTTTTATCGATAGCTTTGTTAGTACTATGGACAATCGTAATGCTATGGTACGACACGAAAGAGCATTGTTTGTATTTATTTAATTTTTCTACCTTCCAATGCGACATAGAGATATATATTAATTTGTACTTTATAGTTTTAAAAGTTTCTTATTCTCTATCAGACCAAATGTATTATAGTATCAATCCTTAAGCAACTCTTTGTTTTTATGTCTATTTGCTTCTGCGATTATCAAAGTACGAAGTACTTGATATAGAACAATCCATATTAAGCTTGAAGGAAAATTGAACCCTACAAAATTGGACTCGCTCAGCAAAAGCTAGTAGACAAACAATTCACTTGTTTTCAATTATTTAAATATTTGTCAGCATGTCAAATATTATTCGGGAAATTGTTAAGGTGGTGGGTAGGCAAGATTCGCCCTAAGGCGAAATTAGAGATCTTCCTTGTATAAAATTAGATAATCACTCTTTATATGTACCTGTCTATTTGCTGTAGCACGTACAACAGCCACGTATTGCATCGCATATTATTCATTATTGGTTCGCTAGGAGTTTTGTTGTTGTGCATCATTACGGTTTGGGAGTTGCACAATTCTTTGGGCAAAACCGAGCCTTATTTCCCTCAGCTATGGCCATTTACTGAACAGAATCTCAGAGATAGCAATTTATGGTTTAGCGCTTTGATGCAAATTGTATTTGCTATGAATTGCGGCTTTGGTATACTACCCATGCTAACGGGAAAGTATCTGTATAAAGGCGATGCTGTGCGCACCTCAGTGATATACGTGTGCTTCAATTTATTAATCAGTGCTGTAGCTGTTACCTTATTTATAATACAGTTCGATCATTCGGTAAATGGATCTTTCCTGATTGAAGAATTAAAGCCTTTGACTGCTGTATACGATCGCGTGTTGTATGATAAATCGCATTATGAGTTATGCGTAAAGCTTTTGCCCTCGCTTATTTACACGTTAATGATAATGACATGTTTCATGTCATTAGTATCAAGTATTTATACTGCCGCCCATTTAGTGCCAAGACGTCCAAATTATATGCTAAGCTTAGCTGGTTTGCTGGCAACCATTATATCGTTTTCATCGCCTCGATTTTATATAGCGCGAATTTTGGATGCCCGAATCGTGGGAACGATGGTGATAACTGCTTTAATTTTTGATCTCATTGCTATTACATGGATCTATGGTGCGAAGAACATTTATATCGACTTGGAATTCTCAATAGGTCGTCCAATTTTCAAAGGTTGGATGTGGTTGTGGTATGTATGTCCAGCCATTTTAACGATTCTTTTAGTTTGGTGGTGTTCAGATGACGACCAATACGATATATTGTCGGAGATAATGCCCCGTTGGGCTCCGATATTGTTTGTGTTATTTATTGTATTTATAATAGCATGTGTGGAAATTTTCGGACAAGTTGAATACAATTTCTTTGGGATGATTTGCGAAGCTTCCAAATCGGCGAAAGAATGGGGGCCGGCAGATCCTTTAACACGTTGCGCCTGGAAGCAGTGGCGTTCGGTTTGCCAAGATACTGGTCAGAGAGATTTCACTTTTCGGCGTCGTGGTACTAAAGATTACACACGTTCTATTAGGATTGATCAATATACCAAATATAAAAAATATACGCCTGAATCTGGTGTAATCCAGCAGCAGTGGATATCTGATACTAATTCACCTAATTACAGCAGACCTGTTTGTGGAAGTTCAATGATAGAAAAGGACATTAGCTTAAGTAAGCATTTCGGTATGTCATCCGCAACTGGCGATTTTAAGAAATTACGTTATTCGCGCTGCTCATCGATGCAACAAGTTGTAAATGCTCACCAACAGAGCCAGCAGAAACAACAAACATTGGAATGTCAAAAGCCATATATAAGCTCATCAGATAAATATATAGATACTTGTGCTTCATCGGCTAAAATTATTAATAAACATAATAAAGAAGTTATGTTTATTAGACGTTCACAAAACGGCGCGAGTTTGGATTCTATACGCGCTGAAATCGAATCACCCAAAGAAGGTTTCATTAACTCTTTCGCGAGATCCACTGGCTCCCAAGAAAATAATGGTAGTTACGCTAACCGCATTGTCTGTTCGAAGCGGACAAAAAATCATTGTCTTTCGATCAATGGATCGAAATCGTTATATTCCAGTATAAGTGCTCCAATTGACGTGAACGCGGAACATATATGCTGGAGAAAATTCGCAATGGATCCAAGAGAGTATTCGACTGAATTGTGATTTCCTGCATATAACGACTCAATTTTCTTATTGAAAAAAATAAAATATGAAAAAAATAATTTTATAAAATACCGCCTTTACACTTAGTTAATTATATCCACATTTTAATCCACACACATGCACACACACACACATGCACACACACACACACATACACAACATATTTTTTAATAATACAATAATATTTTTTATAATAATGTAAATGAATTAAAATAACAAGCAATTCTTGAAGAATAAAATGCTTAACCATATATAGAAAAATCAATGAGATGTCAATTTGATTATCTTACATCTATCTAAAAAATATACGAATTTAAGAAAATGGTAATTATATAGTCGAAAAAAGAAATGTGAGACGTTTTCATCAATCACTGATGGTGGAAGTAGTAAAACTTATATTTTCTCTCTAAGTTGAACTAAAACAAATACTATGTTAAGTAAATGATTTGCATTTGATTTGATTCTTGCTCCCATTTCTATTCATAAAACTATCCCTAAGTACATTGTTATATGTTCTAAAAATGAATTCTATACAATTTTGCAAAACTTTTATATGCAAATCAGAAATCTAGTGTGCCCTCTTAACTTATAATGTACGGACGGAAGTAATGATATGTAAGAATTCTGTCATTCCGTTTAACATATTAAGAAGTTGTATTTTAGACGATGAATTTACGAGTGAGACGGCTCGTCTTGGACAACCTCTTATGCCACTAAGCAGGTAATAAACCTCTACAAGACAATTTTCATATCGCGAAATCAATAGTTATAATAATAGAACAAGCTACAGAGCCAAATGGCGTGATTATAAGCTTTACATAAAGACCTTGAATCAAGTACATGATGATCCTTGGACTTAAGCATCGCGTTGACCTTAAAATCCTAGATACACTAGAACAATAGTTGAAACACTGGCATACTACGTTTTAGCTTTCTTAAGTATATCATATACTGCAAATAATATGTATTTTAGTAAAATGTGTAACAAATTAATGAATTACCAGAAAAACAGTCTCCATAAAGATAAATAAGGTGAGATTACAAGTGTTCTCACCAGGTTATAGCAAGAAATCTTATGATAAACAATGCTTTATATATTATCACAAATGTATGATCACCAAGAATGATGAAATGAAAAATTATTGAAACTAATTAAAACCGAATGAGAAAATTACATTCGATCATGACCGAATCTTTTGTATCCATCACTGTCGAATCTTCATGCTATATAATATGGATATTTTTCTATTCTCAAAATAAAAGTTTTTTCGTATAGGCGTGTGGGCGTTGTAGACGTGTCCTTGGAAACGTTGGATTTACTTCAAAATTCCTTTGAAAATTTGTCAGCGATATCTTCATTTTTGCGAACGGTGGAAAGTGGAAGATAGGCAGATGGACAGACGAACGGACGGACTTCCTTAGATCCATTTTGAATTATAATGGTATTGAAAAAAAAATTTAACTTTAACGCACTTCAATATTAAGGAGGCGTGGTCAATTTGTTCCATTTTTGTATAGGTGCTACAGTATCGCTCATAGAGTATGCTTTCAAATGTTTGTACATTTGTCTGCTATAGTTTATAAACAAAGAGGTAAAAACAAATTTTTTGTTCCCTTTGTAAAACAGAGCTGTTGTCAGTTTATGTGGTGGTGTGGGGGTGGCCTTTAACCGATTTGGTTTATTTTCAATACTAGCTTGCGTGCAAGAAATTCCAATGTTTTTGTCAAACTAGAAGTCGATGACTTCATTTTTGCGGACAGGAGAATGTTTACAATAGACACTACACAGACGAACACAGACAGTCGTGCTTAAATCACTTTTAGAATTTGCTGCTGATCAAGAATATATATATGCTTTGTGGGATCTCTGATGCGTGCTAGTCCCCACCTTTCGGTGATGGGTACAAAAAAAAGTTCCAAGACCACTTATAGATTATAGGAAGCATACGAATGAAATTGTGAAGTCACAATCGGATCACTCAGGCAGGTGTAAATGTAGATCATCTTAGTTAATATAAATGTAACATGAGTGTGAAAAATAATTGAATTATTATTAAACAATTACTCACCACTAATGAAAGCTAAAAATGATTATCTGTGTTTCACCTGATCGGACACAATCAATGAATAAGTAAAAGTAGAAATGGAGCCTCTTTCGAATAAAAGAATCTGTTAACCATCGTTTAAGAACTTTTAAACAACAAATCAAACTAAAGAACAAGATTAGTAGAAATTTGTACACATTTAGCTTATCTGGAGGGGGGTTCAGTTGTGACGTTCAAGAGAACAAATGCAGTAATGCCACGAGCCTTGGAATGAGGTCCAGTTCGCAATGTTTAATAATTTTGCAATTTCTGTAAATAAGTTCATTTAAATTTCTAAATTTGTACGCTTTTACATATAAAATTTTCAATGCACTCACATGCATGACACAACGCCTTATATATTATAATATATATTGAAAAAAATCTATAATAATAATAAAACATTAGAAGCATTTACTTAGAAATGTAAAAATGCAAAATATTGCTTGCCTCCACTAAGTATGTAAAGTTGTATGGAATTTCCAAACGCCAAGAAATTGTCCAATAAACGTGCGCATCTTTCAAAACGAAAATTGATCTTTTTTTTTCTGCACCTATCACCGAAGGGTTAGGGATTGAGGATTTATTTTGTCAACACGTTTGCAACGCCGAGAAGCAAGAATCAATGACCTCACAAAGTATATTTAGTCTTTAACAGCATCAAAGCCTAAATCGATTTAAGCATGTCCGTCTGTCCGTTAGTGTAATGTCTGTTGTAAACATCCTCCTGGAAGCTGTCGACTTCAACTTTGATAAAAAGATTGGAAACTCTTGCACGCAGGTTGGGATTGAAAATGGGTCAAATCGGTTGAAGGACACCCCCACAACACCACGTGAACTGAGAACATTTCTGTTTTTCAAAGGAAATAAAAAATTTGTTTTTTTTCTCGTTACTCATAAACGATAGCAAATCAATGTACAAAAATCTAAACGCATATTCTATGGGTAATGCTGTAGCATTTGTGCACAAATATGGAAAAAATTGACCGCGCCAACCCAATATTATAGAGTATCAAAATTCAATTGTTATTTCAATAGCTTTACAATGCGCAGAAACAAGCTTCGAAAACCGCATAAGGTATACATATTCTTGGCCAGTTTCAAATTTGGAATACATCTAAGCATGTCTGCCTGTTCGTCTGTCCATCTGTCTGATTGCGCAACTTTGTAGCATATGTGGTAAACGTTCTCCCGTTAACAAAAATGAAGATATCACCTACAAATTTGTAAAAGAACTTGTAATCGATCTAAACTTTTCAAAGGGCCCGTCACACAACGTCCACATGCTTGTACGACAAAAAACTTCTATTTTGAAAATAGAAATCAACTGCGTCCGCTTCGCATTATAGAGCATGAAAATTTGGTTTTTTTATTTCTTTTATTTTAGGGGTAAACGGTTCTTTTAAATATCAATTGTTATGCATTATCCACTGTGTTACCTGATTTCAGTTTATTCTTTTTTTCTTCTGCCATTATTAATTGTTGTGGTCGGGAGAATCGGTTTGCGAGCTCTTTGATTTACTCTTTGAATCCTGCTTTAGTCAAGCTAGTGATATACTGAATTCGAGCAATAAAATTTTAGATCTCTTATGCTTTGATCTTTCTATCATTTTTCTCTCAGTATCTCTCCAAGCAATTCAATCTCCGCTCTCTTTAAATTTCGCGCTACAAATGTTCCCTGCTACTGATCACGAATTTTCTATTCATTAGGTCTTTCACTATCCTATTTGCGTGCTGTGTTCCAACGTGCTTTCTATCATTTCGTGCCCGTTATGCAGTTTCGCCACCGTCGTGCCTTGTTAAATGTCAGAGAACATATATAAAAACTTGGCAGCTTTGCGCACATGACGATCGTGTTCTTTTGGAGGGTACAAATTGCAGATTTTCAAGTGTGTACTCTCTCTCGAGCTCTGACGTGAATCTATCCACATTCCATTTTTCTCATGAGATCAATTAAAATATTGCTTGCTATGTGAACGAAATGGCCACATGAAATGTGCTGGTACTACTGGGACAGCTGCGGATGTATTCCTGAATCTTTCGACGGAATCGCGTTGGTCATGTCTTGATTGTAGAAAACCAACTTCTCCAGGTTATTTGTCATAGCCTTCTAAATAAATTATTTGTGTAGACGGGGAATGGGATTTGCGGAGATAGGCAAAGAGCTCACTGCTTTATCTAACAAATTTGAAAAGTATAAGAAAATGTTTTATGAGTATGTTATTTACGAAGCTGAGTTTCGAATTTTCACGATTCTCTTGCTTTTGAATAGACTTTATTACAAAAATAAATAAAATATCTTTTTAGGCGAAGTGATGTATTATTTGGTGCGTTTGGAAATTGACAAAAATTATATGTAAAAACCAAACTTAAAACAATCTAAAACTTGTTAGATCTGCTAGACAAGGTCAAATTAATCCTTCTGATAAATATGAGAAGAGGATCCGCATCCTTATTGCGATGTATGGAGATGCTTCGTCAAAAATTTTGATAGTATTGAGTTGTAAAAATGATAACGTCGTTCTTGCCATATCTAAAGGTAAAATGTCGCAAGTTTTCAGTCGAAAAACTCTCAATGCAATTAATTGTAAGTTTCTAGTTAAGAATCGTTTGCTAGACGGTTTTTAAATAGGCAGTCCATAGGATTTAACAAGAGGTTATCAATAGGTACCTTAGAATGAGTTTTCGTTGAAAATTTTGCAACTCATGCCAGATATTGATCTAAATTTTAAATTTTCTATAACAAAATCATTGACAGGTGAAAATTTTCATTTATTTGTCTTAAAAGGTAATTATGTCATTCGCCGCATGAATAATATATAATGGCTTTATTATCTGCTCCAACGGAGATACTTTTTAACGCTATGTTAATAGATTTGCTGCTGCTGTCTGGCTATTAGTGGTAGTTATGAAGAGTCTTTCAGTCTGCTTATACCGAGTTATCATGAATTTTCTCATGATATTTTATAATAAATTATAATTTCATTAAAAAACGTCATTCAGAAGATGTTCATTCCAAAAAGATTAGATATTCTATGAATACTTAAAAA